TTTCTAGTTATGATTGGGAATCAATAATCATTTAGACAAATGAATAAACATTCTAATCAATTGTATATGACTGATCACCATCAATAATATCAAACTAGCAAACTGTTTGTACACTCTTTATAATGGTAAAAACATTAGTTAAGTGTATGTAAAACAAAAGTTGCGTTTTACCTTGATCACTTATTACTTTCAGGTACATTATGTCATTTATCTAATTGATTTCATGAAGATTTTCAGTAAAGATATATTTCGTAACAGACTGACATAGCAGGGGCTTGATGAAACTTCTAGACAATCATTATTTCAAACGTTTTGAATTTGTGTTTATTAATTAATTATGTCTGTCAACCAACTGTATTAACACGATTCCATAAAATGTCTAAGACCTATCACAAATCTAATTACTGACAAAGTCAAGCAGTACCACTATGATTATTAGTACATATATATCTTAATCCTTACAGTTACTACAGAATTTATGCATCAAACATATTCGGTGATAAAAAGAGAAAAGGACTGGTCATAAACATTTACGGGTGGATATATGTGGTACATGATCGTTGTTAAAAAAATACTGTTTAATAGTTTTAAATTAAATGCCCCTTAAACAGAAATTTTGTTACAATTCTGAGCTGCCAACTCTTCACTATAATCAAATATATGGTGGTTAATAAATAGGGTAATAGTAATATTTATCATTTGGAAATCGAATTCCGATCATAGTGTTTTGGATTGCTCAGCAATAAACATCTAACAAGACATAAAATTTACATCACTAAATCAATGAGAAAAAGAATCGAACATTTTACATTTTTACTGATTATTCATTTGTATTAGAACACCAATGTGTAAATGTTTCATTTTTAGGTCGACTAAATTCATTATACACTGGTTTACACTTTCGTCTTGTTAAATAAACATCGAAATGAAATCGAATTAACATTTATGAAGCTATACAGTTGTTTCTTCGTTAATAATTTGCTTGTTCTTTTTGTTGAATGACAATTACATACAACTAGATATTTAAAAAATTCTTTAACAATAACCTATAAATCATTTCACTATGGAATATTAACCACAAAAGAAATTGCTTCATCACATAGTTTGTTAGTTAGTGTCAGAGATTATTTTGATTAATTACTTTTCTAAGTTTTTTTTTTAAAAAAAAAATCATTTATTGTTTCATTTATTCGTATCAGCGGTATGAAAGCACTTGGCAACCAAATACAACTTTGTATATATCTAATAACATATAAATCACTGGAAAAACTTGAGTTTTTTTAAAGCCTAACTATAACGTTTAAGTTATCAGTCAATCGATTTTCTACCAAAAAAAAGTAAATGCTTTCTGTGTACACTGATGATACAAATATGTAGAAATATTGTAGCATCTCGAAAAACTAACGACAATCATACAATAATAATAATCGATACCAAATGGACGATAATGTTTATTGTTCTAATTACTATTATAAGCATATCATGTTTACTGTTGATTTGTAAATAGATGTAAATAATACCATATTTGATTCATTATCCGTCATTTGTTTGTGATCACACCCTTTTTGATGCTTTATAATAACAATATGAATTACTTAAATTAACGATTTTTTTAGAATTTGAATATGCCACCAATCTTGTGACGAAATTTTGTATTTTAAGTGTGAACTTGTGTTTCTAACCGTTACACTCTATGTATGATGAGAGAAAATTTATGACTATTGCCACTTTGATCATTTGTTAAAGTTTCAAGGGATTGATGAATTAATTAGAATAACTTACGACTATCAGTATGGGGTTGTAGAGATTGTCAAGATTTTTGATTGAGATCATAAATCGATTGATGTTAGATCACCATTGAAAACCTGAAAGCACTGGGTTCGAATCCAGAGAGCGGGATCGTGGATGCACACTGTTGAGGAGTCCCATACTAAAACGAAATGACCGTCTAGTGCTTCCAGGTTTTCAATGGTGATCTAACATCAATCGACTAATTATCTCAATCAAAAAACGTATGACTAGTTTGCATTATTAATGTGGTATTCAATGGGATATCATTGAAAAGTGGTGAAAAATATTCAACCAGTCTCGAAATTCTCAAAAGTCCATGACCATGAGTCCTTATTGTACTAAACCCAAGACCTTCACAGACCGCATGCTACAAGTATGATACTTTCATATCATGAAGTCGAAGATTCATGCTTTAGTTTACGATATACCACTATCTAGTAATCAACAACCGTTAGAAATTAGCCTGAAAATGAGTTCCCTGAAGTCCAAACCACTAGCCACCACCTAGAGTCAGACTCAATGAGAGTTATTATTCTCTATTCTATATTCTTTTGAACATGCGTTCTGCTCGGATCAGAGAATTCCAAAACGATGATAAGCCTTCTGAGTTAAATATCCGCTAGTTTTCAATGACTTTTTCGGCTGGCATTAGTTTGTTTATCAGAACTTTCACCTAAATCTTAATGATTAGTTTCACAGTAGTTAGGTGTCGAGTTTAATGTAATGCACTAATTCTTAATATAAAGTCACTATTTTATTAAAAGGAATCACAATATTCGTTATTTCATGTAAAATTTACCATACAATCCTTTTAGTTTTTCAATGATCACTTGTTCATCAATATACAAGGTGGCTAGTATAATGATTTTGTTAAAATATCTTTGGACAAATTTGCAATTTTACACAACACACATTGACGTAAGTAAAATGACTATTGGAAACCAGAAAGCTTTGGACAACTGTCTTGTTCTATTGTTTAATTCTACAATGCTGACTCACCTCCTGGACATGGATCGAACGCCACACGGCATTTAGTTAACATTTAGACCACTGAATTGCCATTCAACGGCATAAACTTCTAAATTCAATCAATTTGCGAGATTGAGGGATCATCATTCAATTCCATTCGTAGGCAATTTCCACAATCATAATGCGACTAACCTCATTATTCACAGCTTCTCCCTAGGACTGGGAATTCCATCTCCAAATTAGTCACTAGTAATCATACAATAATATTTCATACTTTCATATCGTGAATCGATTTTAGTTGGACGGCTGAAAACTAGCTGTTTCGTCCTTGTACGGGACTCCTCAGCAGTATCCATTTACGACTACGTCGTGGCTCAAAACTAGGATTTTTGGGCTCTCCATCGATAACTTGAAATTCACACCACTAAGTTAGCATGCAGTCAATTTTTACGAAATGACATTCACTTTAAAGCAAATCAATAGAAAAAAAATCGAAACAGAAAGCAAACACAGATTCTTTTATATAGACCTACGTCCCATTTTTTTAATAGCACACATATTTCATAAAAAATCGTCAGTTCACGTGACCACTGACTAAAGTAACGAATTTTTTATAAGTCGAGAATTCAAATAAACTTCTATATTACGTAATAGCTGTCGCAATAATTAATTAGTTATTCATAATAAAACTAGATCAGTGTGTTATTGGATAAATCGAACTAATTTTTGGATTAATTCATTGGTGTCTTCGTTTTATTACACAAAACTCCAATGCAGACAATAGAAGATACCTGAATAAAAGTATGTAAGTGGTCTCATATTCAGTCAGCTTCTTTTAAAACGTCGAATCCCAATGTGAACATCAACACTAGGAAGTAGGTACATGTAACTGATGGGTTTCAAGTAAGACAAAATTCGTGTCCTAAATCCCACTACTAGCCAAAATACAGATCTAATAAAACTTATAACTAAATGACAATAACGAAACCATTCGTTCCGGATGCGTATACGCTAATAGAGGCTAACCAAATATAGGAATATACAATTACACGTAATTTGCCGATAGACTTAATATTATCTAACCTCTTGATACATTTTTTTATCAGCTGGACTGTTGAACTACCATTTTAATTTATATTAATTGTATACTGTTTTGATTACACATACAGAGTAGTTATAGGACTATCAGGATCAGAAAGAAAATAAAACTTGCGATCATTTTAATGTAATCTTGAATGTACTTTAACTGAGTCTAGGTTTATATTGAGAAATATTGTGACATTAAAACAAAAATAGTAAACTGTACTATTTTATAAGGAATTTTCTCACTTATTTGGCATTCGATATTATTGGCATGAGAAAAAAATATATGTAGCTGTATCAAATGATTCAAAGTATTTAGGAGTAGAAATAGTTTATTGAAAAATTGTTAGGTGTTGTAACTAGACCAAGTTAGAGCCTAGTTAGTTTGTCATGTATAATAATATATTATATATACTATTTGATTAACTGACTAACTATATATTCAATCTAATCTTGTTTTCAGTTATTCTCTTTGTCAATTCCAAACTATGACGAATAACCATTAATTCCTGTTAAACATTTAATTACTCTAAAGAAGTTGATGTTACGAATCGATAGATAGCTATAGAATCATTGAAGACCATGAAGTATTTGACAAACCTTTTATATTAGTCTGAAACTTTTAAGCAGAACATCCTGCTTTCTGATGGACTCAAGCAAAAGAACTTCAGATCACGATACTTTTAAACCATTTGGTTAGACATTCACACTTATTCTTCCACAGCTTCAGTCAATCTCGGACGAATTTCTACTCATAAATCAATCAACAAAATAGAAATAGTTTCGATAGAAATTTTTACAGGTCAGTCGAAAAACTGTCCAATCATAAAAATAACAATATTAATTACAGGAATTAGTCAATAGACAAAATTTAGTGATTCATAAGCTGACCAAAATAAATTTGGCAAACGGTCAGAGTAAGCAGCATTATGTATTTAGACACTATTAGTAAATTAATTGAACTTTGACCTCTGTCAAATACAGAATTCGAATATCAGCTCACCATTTCAAAAATGTTAATTAGAAGTTAGTTGTAAATAATGATTTTTTTGTATAAATAGGAGCACTCATTTAAGTATTTTATAGTGCATATTAAACCATTTAAATTGGCGTCATATCAACTTCCTTCCTTATACAACGCAGAAACAATAACTATTGATCCAAATGAACTAACTATATTTAGTTTTTTTCTTTTAAAAAAAGATGTGATTATGATAGACAATAACTGAATTCTGTTAGGAATTAATAATAATTAGAGAAGTAACAAAAATGTAACTGTATTTGAAACTATCTTGACAATTAAACTTGAATATAGTTCTTTCATATAGTTCTGTATAATCAAAGTTCAGATATATATTGTCAAATAAATGACAATAGGTCGATATGTTATCCAATCCTGTTGGCTTACAAGAGAAATGAAGTTGAACATGTAAACATTAACAAGTGCAACATATTGATTAACTCAGTAATTTTTTTAATATTACATTTGAAAAACAAAAATATGTCCTTTTACCTAGTTTGTTTTTAAAATATGCAGAATATTAGAAGCCAAGAAAATAAATTCAGTTAGAACATACAATGTCTTTGTAAAGTTTAATACGAGATTGGTTTTCACTGGATGGACAGTTTAGTTTATACGAATTAAGTCAGAATTAGAAGTATGCAATACAGTAAACAGTGTTAGCGCTAAATCTTATGTATTATTGATAAATAAAGATAAACTACAGAAATCCTCAAATAATTAAATGAAGCTTAATACTCTAGTCATCATCGGCTATATCAAAGTTCAACCAGAAATTCATCAGTGTTAGGTTATCTAACCTTTTTCAGTGTTTAATGAAAGTATTATATCTAGTATTTCTAGGCACTTTCTCATTTGTTTAGTGGGTGGGTACTGTATAACAGCGCATGATTTTCGCTGGAGATTTCATTTCGATCATTTGAAGCTGTTTACATGCCTTCTGAGGACATATCACTGTAAAAACCCAACTTTTCAAATGAAAAATCAAATAAGATGAAAGAGGAAATTGAATTATGCTCATCAACAAGACGTCAGAAATAAATACACTTGTACACATCTTCAAGTATCCAGATATGTCCACTTATACTGTAATTCACTAAATCCCTGTGAGTGTAAATAAATGGATTTGTTCCCAAGCACAAATAATTCCATTCTTGTTTTTAAACAAACAGGTACTACATGACACCAGTTGAAATAACCTAAGCCGAGAAGTTTAAAAGTAAGCATAATTAAACAGGGTACAAAAAAACTAACATTAAAAGATTATTTTCTAATGAAGAAGCAACAACACTAGTTATGCAATAAATTATGAACCATATCTATTTTTGGTAAGGGGTTTCGAATGAGAACACGCTTTATGCAAATTAAAAAACGCTTACAAAAAGACCGACATTTCACTCAGCATTTAACAATAACCAGTCGAACAGTCAGTATAACAATGCAACATCAATAGTGTGTTATTACTAATGTGTCATTAAATGCTCTTCGCAAAAAACGGGAAAAAAACAACACATTTGAGTGGTGAGTGATACATGGTAAAATAACGAATAACCAGATATAAATGAAGCCAGCAAAAATGAGTGATAAACAAGACAATAAAAACTGTAAACAACAACAAACGGGGTTCATCATGGAGAGAATTAACGACACAAGTCAAAGAAAGTACGCTAAACTGACTGAATCTTCTTGTCTGTGTATAGCTAGAAGCAAACAATATTAGCATAGGTACAAAGTTTTGCTTAACTATACGAAAACAAAATCCCAAGAAACGCTTGAAAATAATATGATAGGAAGTTTTTTGTTTAATGGTGTAAAAAGAAAGAAATCAGAAATTTATTACAATAAATAGTAATCTAAACACAGTGGAAAAAAGAAGAGATGATGATGATGGTGAATACTGATCAGTTAAACAAAAGAATGAGCAGTTCTTGCAATCCAATTTCCTCTTCCTTCTACACCAACAAATAAACTTGGGGTTTTGAAGCAGAAACCAACTACAAAAAGCATCTCGACAAACATTTATGACAACATAAATTTTCTCTTTATGAGATGAATAACGAGGTTTGAAAGGAGTTAGTTTTATTTAAACATAAAAGTATGAAGTATGAAAATTGGTAGAAAAAATTTACGTAATATAAATTAGAGAGAGGAAGAGCACAAAACTATTATACTTCTTACATGCTTTACAGTTTCATTTGTCATATTTATATAAGAAAAAGAATTATTATAAGTTAGCTTTGGAAAAAATTTATCGTTGTTCATAGAACTTGGAACGACTCGGCATGATCATTGTAGTTGGAAAATAGGCAACTTATTGTGTTTTTTCCTTTCGACCACCGCCAATAATTGGTAACTTTTCGAGATGCGTTTTAACCCTGCGAAAAAAAAGCTAATTAGTCAAGCATTCACTATGCATATAAAGGGATATTCACTTACAAACAATTCATATACGATAGGTATTAGCACATGTCTGATGACGATACATTTAAGGTTAGCACTAATAATAGTCAGTGGGCTTATTAGTGTTTGACGTAGACAAGAAATCCCCAAAATTTTAACGAGAAGCCGTGACCGGTGGGTAGTTCAACCATGTCGGGTATTGAACAAATACCATCGATGACAAAGGATAAAGGTTATACAGTAAGGTGAATTGATGAAAAAAGTGAGAACTGCTGGATGCCAGACTATCATCAGATTGTAGCTCGTTTTCAAAATGGGTTTCGTTTTGTTAGATATATAAAAGAAATATCTGGTGTAAACAATTACAGTTAAATGATACACCAAGAATGTTTTAGAACGATATCATATGTTGTGATGATGCAATTAATTTAATTTCTAAGTATCAATCAGGAGAAGCAAGAATAGTGAAAAAAGAACTCATATTTAAAATCTGCCTTCGAAATACCAGTGGAAGAAGAAATAGTACACACATTGTCCATATTCAGATGGAAAATTACTCAGCATCACACTAATTACAGTTATTATGATCGCTACAAACTGATCAACTTTACTGTTATATAATTTGATTTACTTAAACGGTAGCTATTCACAAACGTGAATCGATTTTCTTCAGACCAATAGTGAACCGATATATTTACAATACATTGGACATTAATCATGTAATGAAGCAATGGTTGAAATCAATAAATTTGGCGCAGAATTCGACTACATAACAATTCCAACAAAATAGGAACTGACAGAAACAATAATTTTAAAATGAAATCATCAAAATATTATCAGTGAAAGAGTGACTTACTGTGATGATACCATATCTACTTTTGACTTCGCTAGCTCAATCATTTTATCGATTTCCGGCTGGAATTCACAAATAAAAAGAGAGTTTTTACCACCTCAAAAAACATGGAGAATTACTTTTTTACAGTCATCCAGTAATAATTAACATATAGCCCGTGGCATATTGACACATCACATCAGAAAGACAGAGAGTCATTCGCAACGTAGAACCTGGCGCGTACGTACATCGGTTCAATGGGCCATGCCGCATAAGCACGGACAGATGGAATTATTAGGTCAAATCCCATAGTAGAGGTAGTAACAGCATAAGTGGTAATAGAAAACATGAAAGATCGGAGATGTAATCCCAAAAAATATAAACTAGTGAAATAAACAAACAAGCAAAGTTTATGAGGAATGCAGAATCTTAGAATGTGGGAGAAGACAAAGTAAGAAAAGAAACAAAATGAAACTAACAAGATGGATTCAAAAGAAATGGAAATAATGTGGAAGTAATTATAATGGGAGGGAATATTTATTTATTTATTTGAACACATGAATATTGGTACAACAGAGCGCCAATATATATGCGCCACACAATGGGAGGGAATAAACAGCGATAATATGGTTCGAGAAGGAATGAAACGGTGTGGTGGAACGAACTACTGGAATATAAAATCTAGACGATGAAGAATTAACGCATCTGGTAAACTATGTTGCAATCAACATTACAAAATAGTGTTAACATAACTTGTGTTAAGTCTAGGTACATGTACTCAACTTCGAACTAAGTGCTTTTATGTGTACATGCTGCTAATGATAATATCTAGCTCTCTAAATCTGAACTAGGTGAAAAGAATCCTTGAACCTGCAACTATGTTCTGAAAATTACCATTATATCAATAAACAGGAAGACTGACACAAAATGAATTCAAAGTTCAACTTGTTTAAATTATTTTGAGAAAATAATACTTCAACTTAGAGACGAAGTCTGTTTCATACTAGAAATATTGTAAATAGGAAATCTCTCAGATGAAAACGAGTATAACTAATTAATAATGTATTACCATAAAAGCTCAGCTAAATCTACAATTATAGCAATAATTTCCATTGGACAGACGGAATCATCGGATAGACTGTTATTCCCTACATTTGTGAGCACAAGTTCATAATCATATTAAATCCGTGAGTAAAAAGAATGAAATATGAACATTTCTGAATAATGGTCGCGATACATTTGAAACAGAGGATTCTGAAGATCTCTAAATACCCAAAAGTTTAATAGATGAGTGCATTATAAACCTACGGCATAATTTAGGTAACAAAGATATATATATAAGTCATATTTAGATAGTGTATGAAAAACCTTTGGGTTAGGTATATTAATAATGATGGGTGCTAGGAATACACTATGATCAAGAGATCATGTCCTTGAGGAGAAACGTAAATATGACGAATCAATTAAAACTAACAAAAGAGTAAAGACGGTTAACGTAATATGGGTAAAACGTTGAAATATTGTAAACTGAAGTGGCTACGACATTTGAGCTTCAGTTGACAAGCCCCAGATTCGAAGGTTGCTCCACCTATTTTAGTCTGAGCAACGAGGTAGTGCCACTGGTCTCCACACAAAGTGAGGCTCGAAACTAAATATACGGATCTGTACCTGGTAAACGAACGTTCTCACGGCGGGGGTGTTGTTTACAAAAAGCGAATGTCCGGCGCTTTAACTGGGTTGGTGGATATGGAGGATCCATCTAAGGGAGTTGGAAAACACTGATTCCAAACAAATGGTGCACATGGGCTCCAGGATCCTGAGGGAACAAATGGCGTGTGAACTAGTTATTGGTCAGCGGCTGTTATGCCACTGCATCTCCTGATGTTGCTCCACTGCCTTGTGGATAAGACCTTTAGGTAGAAGGCTTCGGAGGAAAACCGCCTGCTTCGATCTTAGCACCCGAGCAGTATCACAGCCCATACACAAATCAAGTGACTTGTGTGGCGCATATGTATTCGGTGACCGTTTGTACCAATATTTATGTGTTCAAATATATAAGTAAAATGAGCTCAACCAAGAGGGATGACAGATGTTGAGAAATAAAAGCGATCAAATGACAACTCGAAATCACAACGAGATAAAGTTTAACATCACATTGTTCGATACACGTTGATCACCAGTCAATAAACATACTCAGTCAGTCAGCTACAACGTAGGATCAGGCACATAATAAACATATTAACATGCATAGTTTAGTTAATAATTTCATTACGTGGTATATATGTAATTTCTGGGGGAAAAACTTACTTGGTAGCGCTCATAAAACTTCGGCACACAAAAGACGCCAAAAGTGACTGCGATGGAAACAAAAAAGAACCAAAATTAGAAGAACAATGAGTGACATTAATCTGGTACTATGTTGTAAAAGTATAGCTAGTTAGAATACCAAAACAGTGAAAAGAACATATGACTATGTGTAGATAAAACTATGGACTCAAAGCTATTGTGAGCCACTGGACATTTTGTACAGTATGCGTTTAACATTTGGAATATTATTATTAGAAATTTGCGGACTGTGAAAAATAAAGAGAGATGTCTACATAAAAAGTGGTTTGTGTTTTCAGCAAATCCCTGCCATTACTGGGATGTACCGCAACACTTAGCTTGTAGTGAAACAATATGGGAATTTCCCTCTGAGATATGAAAGTATGTGAAACCGGTATCAATCTCTCAGTGTTATTCTGATGTTTGGAGCTTAAAACAAAAAAAGCGAACAGCTTTTCGGGATGCATAAAACTGGATTATCATTAAAAAGGAACTTACATAGTATGCATAAAGTTAGGAAGTTGAACTGTGCACCAATGTATGTCAGTAGATATAACAGTACAGCGAACTGAAAATATACAAAAAATATGCACTGTCGGTTTGTAGTAGTATATGTAGTGTATGACATGAAAATGAAATGCCGAGATAATTGTGAAAACTAGTCCCGACAAGTTCTGATTCGAATATTTCTGGACTGGTCAGAAGTTTATCCACACATCCACTAATATCTTATTTACACGTCAAGGGGTTGTCCAGATCAAAGTAGGCATAGTATGGGGATGTAAACTGAAAAAATGTTTTAAAATTATACTTATTCCATTAAGTCACAGCTAAGTTAGTGCTAGTATTTGGATTTAATAGATAACTGGTTATTAAGTTAAATCATGTATAGTGCACCGAACTTTGAAATATATAATTTAAGAAAGTATCAATATATGAGTTCTGTAGGCTGAACAAATCATTCTCTGGTGGAAAGTGTGATAATCTACGAAGACAAGAAGGTCAAATGCATGGATTTATGCGGAGAATTCAATGTAGCTTTAGTTGAATACGTTCGCAGCACATTGAATAATTGGAGGCCAAAATAATCGTTAAGTAATCTAATGAAAAGATCAATGAAATAAACTGATTGAAAATCATAGATATTATTTTAGTCAAACTACGACCACTTTTCAGTGTTATGATACCATTTCGGTCCAAAAGTAATGAAATCTAATTCGAAAACAGTGGTAATTTCAGTTATACAAACTGGTTTATGCACTTGTGAAACAAATTTCGTTTGATCGGGTAAGGAAGATATCTCATTAAATAACGCTGAAAGGAATTCAACAGCGAAAAATTGACAATATTCATCAATTATATACTCATTTTAAGGTTAATCAATATGAAATAAACATACTTTCACAGATGCGGCGGGGTCCGTGAGTAAGAATATTTCTCTAGTGCGTGTTAACCCTTTGTTTAAAACTTCAGTAAGACGTCGAGAAACTTTCTCTGCTTTATCTTGTGGCACAGTGATTTCTCGTTCTAGATATTCCCTACATTTAAGTGAAACAAAACATCTACTTAAGTTGGTTAAGATTAGAATTATGATATGCCAAGTGAAAGGATATAAGTATGCAAAATTTACAAATACCTATTAAGGAAAATATAAATATATATTGTATTGTGATTTCTACCATGTTAAATAAGTGATTCATACGAGTCGTCAATAATCCTTAGATTTGTAAGAGAAGCATTAATATTTTTTGACATGGAAATCAACCGAAACTATCGAGAACTTGAAGGTTTGGAATATGTCCTGAAAATAAATGAGTAAAATGTACATATGATTCACTGAAATATCTTTAACAGTTAGTCATGAATATCTCTAAGATCCAAAACAGGAAACCTGTATTTCGCAACAAGGCTCAGTCTATTGATCAATATACTTATAGATGGACACGACATATGTGTATGGTCACTGCTCACCTATAGTACCCAGAACTTAACATTAATCTGGGTATTAAATGAATATATGTAATACGTCTTTCTAGTATTTCAGTCAGTAAATGATTGTTTCGTGAGTCGACTTACAACTTCCGTTTATTTAAAATGTAAAATTTAAGATTTCGGTAACCATGAACGATGCTACAAACGAATCTACGATTAGACATCGACAGCCAATGCATGTTATTAACCTAAAATCGTGCTTAATAGCTGTACAGTAACAAAGTGAATGAAGTTTGTCCAGATTATACTTTAAGGATTGCTATGGAAATTTAAAATAAGTAGAAAACTAACGGATATTTTAATTTTTTATCTAAAGCATTCATCTTCAACCAAACAAACCCGATTAGTTTAGCACTATGAAGTTTCGATTTGGGTATGAAAATATATTATAAATATTAACAGCAAGAGTAAAACTTCATTTACATATTTTACAAACAACCTCGTTGTTGAATGGATTGTTATACGCAAATACAAACTTACTATAAGTACCTTTAAAACACGAGAACTGACCTGACAAAATTATTTTCTGTTTTAGCCACAAAGTGATAATACATACGCAATAAGTTGACGGAAACAAGAAGGGCTAATCCGATATAAGCAATGAAGGAGATTGCAGAAAGACACATAAAACTAAATTCGACAATCAGCAAGAGAGTCAGTATGACGCCTGTTACAATTGGTTGCCGCCAGTACACGATAGAGCGTACTGTTGAAAAGATAGAGTAAAAATAAAATATGAATAGTATTAATTGATTTTAGTCATATTAGTGAATGGCAAATATCAGGTTTAGCTAAGAGCAATACTTTTACATCACCAACATTTAGAGCATGAATAAATTGACAATTTACTAGATTGAAAACTGTGTACCACGTTTAGTGCAAAAATAAACAAAATATCTTTTTATTGAGCACAGTTTATTATTATTAGTATCTGAACACATAAATATTGGTACAAGAGAGCGCCAATATATATGCGCCACACAAAACGATGAGAATTCGAAGAAAAAAAGTTAGGGAGCGTAAAAAAAGATGGTGACATCGGTTGTATTATCATCTTTGCGCCCGAACACACGATGCCGAACCTCTGCATTACTGACATGGTGTTGCCACTGGATGTCAGCAATCCTTCGGAGACAACGATGATCGAACACAGAGAGTCGTCTAACGTCCTCGACTCGGAGAGGTCAGGTTTCACAAACATAGAGCAAAACTGCTCTCACCGACGCGTTGTAGATCCGACCTTTTACAGCCAGACTAACATCACGAAGGCGCCAAAGGTGGCCCAGATTGGCATAAGCCGCTCTGGCTTTCACTATACGTGCATTGATCTCATCACTCACATCTCCACCAGCACTTATGCAGCTACCCAGATACACGAACTTCTCGATTATTTCTATCTGCTCACCATCCAGGGTGAGTACAGGATTAGAATCCCGCCAGTCTTGTAGAAGTACTTTGTGCTTCGAAGGTCCAAAGCACATACCATACCTACGGACACTGATTGCCAACTGATTAAGTGCGGATAGCATGGCTTGGGCATTATCGCACAGTAAGACAATATCATCCGCATACTCAAGGTTGAGAAGTCTTTCTCCAGGCAACAGATCCACACCATCATTACTTACATCCATCAGAGCTGTTTCCAGAATGTCATCGATGGCAAAGTTGAAGAGGAATGGTGGGATTGGGCAACCCTGCCTAACCCCACTGCTCGAATAGAACAATGGAGAAAGGCGGTTGTATGCCCTCACTCTGCCTGAGGTGTTTGTATATAGGGCTTTTAGGATGTTAATAAACTTCTCAGGCACACCCTTCTTCAATAGACAATCCCAGAGAACAGTCCTATCCAACGAATCGAAGGCAGCCCTGATGTCAAGAAACACTACGATTGTTGGCCTTTGAAAAGTATGACGGTGTTCTAACATTTGGCGGAGGGTGAAGATATGATCAATACATCCTCCACCAGAACGAAACGCAGCCTGCTCCTCGCGAGCAAATGTTAGACTATGATTTTGAACACGATGAGAAATCTATGACTACAGCACAGGATGTGTTTCATACATTTCACAATTTACATCTCTCATTATCGGCCTAAATATATTGGTGGAAGTATACAAAGGTGGAATATACCATCTGAACTTGCAAAAGTTAGCCACAGTTTTCATAACACATTTGTACATGTTGAAGTTAACACGATGAATAGCAAAGGAATTGAAATAATAATTCGTCTGACAATACTCAAGATCACTGCTCTAAGGTTTCCTCGAAGTTGTAAATTCAAGGTCAGTGTTTTACATATTTGGTGGCTGAACTTCAGTTACGTAATTGACCGACGATCGATGAAATCTAAAAACAAATTTTTTGGACATTCTTTGGAATTCATAGACTACGGAAACACATCAATTGTTCATATAAACAGCTGTAGGTTATTTATTGATCGTCGCCTCAATGTAAGTGGAGCACAAAAACCTTTTTGGCCTGGACTTAACTAATTAAGGTAATAATGAAAATTTGTTCAAAAGGGGTGCATCTACCGGAAATTTACAGCGAGATGAGCGATGATCTACTTACTTACTAGAAATATGTTTTGCGATTATGAAACTCGAGCTACCTACACAAGTGATTCCTACTTATGTCATGAAATAAAGATCACTTGAAAGAAAACACTTGACCGAAAGTAATCGAATGTATAGGCACTGCCAAATTTGTTTTGGCCTTATGAAAACATCTGCCAACAATTAGTCTTACCCTTCTCCGAAATGGGACAACCGTTTGAACAATCCATTTTACCTGAAAATATAAATGGAAGATTAAGACGGGTGTTAAAGTGAGACAGTTTTAAGAGAGTAATTGCAGTAGTAAATGGAGAAACGCGCCAATACAAAAAACCAACTCAGATCTCTGAGAAGAACAAATGAACAGCCAAACCATGATGATATTAGAATACTGACGACTAAACGTTGCTTGAAATGGGTCATATCCCATCACAAAACCGAAGTGACATCATTTACCTGTCTATTATGTCTGTGTTTTTTCCACAATGACCCCTTAATAGTGTTAAAATTCACTCAGAGTTTGACGATACCTTACTCGACATTTTCGGAGATTTTTATGCCACAATTTTTAAGGTGTCTGGAAAACATGCTTTACCCTATCTGAAGACACTTAACGTTGCTAGCTTTCAAGGTAAGTAAGAAGTAGTTACTCAGAAAACTTGGGATGCACTTCTTGCAACTTCCTACTCCGAATTTCGAAATATGACTATCGTTATGGTCACTAAAAGTGCAGTAGTCGAGCAGCATAACTTCTTACTGAACTCGTGTCTTTGAGTTAGTGTTTGACTTTTGGTAAGATTAAAAGATCCACATTGTTTTAAACAACACCGCTTTCCGCATAGGCAAGATATATAGATGTCTAGTGGAAAGTGAATACATTGCAACAATATATTGTTTCTTTGCTTACAATGGGATACATATTTATGTAGCAACTACTCAGTTTTGTGTGCTTAAGGCCCTACTCAGGCATAGTGGTGCGAAATTTATTTTACCTCCGCTAAGTTGAGCGAACCAATACTGTCATAGGGTAAATACCCTTAGCATAAATCCGCCAAATTTCATGACTATCAGTATCATAATTATCCCCCAAATAATGTGACTGAATTAGGTTAAACAATCTATGCGCAGTTAATTGACTACATTTTAAAATCTAGCCTACATCTAACCAACTATGGCGCCTTGATAAGCAAAATGCAACCACAACTATGAGCATATTCGACAGTCTAGATAAAAACCCGATAATTAAATCGAAAAACGGCTTGAAATACACTGCGTGAGCTTTAAATATTTTCATAAAGACAACACTATGTCCGTGGAGTCCAGTGGGCGGTTATCGAAACAAGTTTGCTGTCGAATCCATTAAACTATTAAGTACTGACACAGCTACACAAGTCCAACAAGATTATTCAAAATGTGCATTGACAATCATGAAAAGTAGTATTGATGAATGAAACCAAAACCTTATAACCTTAAAGTCAGAGGGGATAGTTTCAGAATGAAGTAGGTAAGAATTAAAGATAACCAAAAAATAATACAGTAATAATCATACGCACTACAGTTCGAGCTATTCGAATGGGAGTTTTAGTAATCGGGACAATCAGGAAAGTAAATTGAATCGGTCTGAGAAATATCGTGATCCTGAATAACCGCTAGCTATTTGAGACAAACAAGTATGCGGTAATAGCAAAGAGGAGTGATAAACAAAAGGATTTAAAAAGACAAAAACCGTCTAGGCATGAACTAAAAGTTTTGTTTCTTTTGGTTGAACAAAACCCTTGGCAATGAATCAAGTCAAGTGGTAGCCCAACGGATTATATTTAAGTGTACGGTAGCCGACTGACCAAAATGCAGATTTATTGTCATTACACACAAATTGAACACGGAGAAATAAAGTCACTCAAAGGAACGACACTGGTGAGTTAATAGGATACGTGAATATTCCATTACTTGCCACACAGAAATATTTAAAAAGTAAGCTGAACAATTTGAAGCGTAAAGGTAAAATAACGTATACATGTGTATTTAGAACAACAGGTAGATTTGAGACAGCCACAAAGGTAACGTGATTTAAATGACAAGATATCAAGATAAAGGAGATATAGATCAAAATTAATAAGAAAGAACGTAAAGTAAACAAAAAGGTAGGTAAGTGAAACCTCACCTGGGGGAAAACCGTCAGCCAACATCGCTTAAACTCGTAATTTTCAATAGCCCGCTGAACTATTCGATGGCGAATAATGAAATTAGCCTAAGGTTGAAGAGATAAACAAAATCTAACAACCAAAAGATTTTCTGTACAATTTATAGTTCTTGAATATCGCAAAAAGTGTTTTTTGCTGCTTTGACCACAGAACACCTGCCTCAAGGCACTATTTAGTTCTCTGCGTCAAATGAACTTTCAGAATTTTTAATAACGAGTTCGCAAATCATGAGGTTCGTTTCATCGATAGTCCTGGGTAATAAATCATAAATAAATAATCGAAGATTGACGTATATGCTATCAACGACATTGTTTTGTGTTTGTCTTATGGTGCCGAAAAATTTGCAATAAATTATATTTATTTCACGTAAGGGAATGGTCGATATCTGTCAAGAAACATGATGATTCAATATCCCGCTTCGACATATAATGGAAAGGATAAACTTATGTAATGATGGCATTGCGATTTACAGTTTAAGCCCATTTTTAACGCCATCTCCAGTCCGCTGATATGAGAGAACCATCCTATATATGTACTTTAGACGTTGTTCCAGGTAATTGAACTTGAAAAGGTTAATTTGCATTTTGAGTGTATTGTAGTAGTAAGCTTACGATATCTTAGGTGTGCTATGTATTAAAGAAGACGCTTTCTTTGTTACTGTCCTGGTATTTCATCACTGTAATCAACCGACGACTGTTTGATGTACTCATTGCACGTATCGTGTTAAAAGACCGGAATGATCTGACCACAATACACTAAATTAGAGAACATATGAAAACTAGTAACGTGGAACATGTTGTCACTGAATGACTTCAGAAACCTTAAATTGCCATATAAGGCGGACTTGTAGTGGCATTGGACCATAACCACACAATCCGCAAAGCTGAACATGAGACAACTCGGAAAATAGATATTCAATATTTAACACGGAGAGACACCTAACGATGGAGAAGGCGCGAACAATGAGTTGAGGAATTAGAGTTGATCGAACGGCATGGCTCGGCCATGCAGGCGTGGTCCCTGCTGAATGTTATCTTATTTCTTCTATTCATATTAAATATATTGTTCTTTCTCTAGCCTAACCTTGTTCTACATCATGTATTGGTAATTGGTACGATACAGTGAGTTGGCGTAGTCGATGGTGTGACTTCCACGTAAGATCTTATAGATTAGGCAGTTATATCATGACGAATCTACAAATTTAGAATTAGGTCTATTATTAGAGCAGCACTAATATCATAGTAGACCATAATTCTACAGACTCATAAAACGCACGTAATGTGCGATTTTGACAAACTGAGAGTTTAGTCTTCGGATATACAAACAGTGGAACAATGGACGAAATGTCAGGCAGCTGAAGACAAGGATGACTGAAATGCAATACAATTAGAACGTTCACAAGTCCAAGTTCTCAGAATGACTGCCAATAGTTATTACTAAGAGAAGTTACCGACTAATTTGCCATGTAAATTTAGCGTGAACGTTCGTCTCTTGTTTCTCCAGATAAATAGTTCACTCCTTCTAAATGTAATCGAATCTTGAACTCACAGCGATGACAAATTTGATTCATGCATCTATCCCAAAAACTCAACTACGATGTGATGAAACCTTACAGCACACGAAATAACGAGCGATCTTCGATCCATTACGATCAATTCTTTCAAATTCATCTGCCGATAGTGATAATCTAATGAGGTATCAGAACGTGTTTTGTGGATATTATAGTAATTTTAATGGTCGAGATAATCAGTCAGTTGAATCTAGACTACCATGAAAAACCTGGAAGCACTAGGCGGTCATTTCGTCCTGTTGTGGACCCCTCAGGAGTGCGCATCCAAGATCCTGTCTCGCAAGTTTCGAAACCAGAACATGTCGGTTTCGCGCGCGAACTCTTAAGCTCCGCATCACTGGGCCTGTATACAAAGGTGTTAATATCTATCTGACGAGTCCTAGAATAGGACGAACTGGCTGTCCGATGTTTCCAGGTTTTCCATTGTGGTCTGGCTTCAGATGACTAATGATATCAACCATCAAATTTTCTAATGATATTGATGATGTCACAGGTATTCAGTGTTTGACAACGCTTCTACCAGTAACACCTTCTAATGTATTTCGTTCCCGCCCAGAGAAATCAAAAGACAGAGTCGAGGAGATCGGAAGAGTATATTTGGCGATGACCAATATATCGGAATTCTCTGATCTAATCTGGCTAGCGATTGCGGTTGATGTTGAGCACGGCGTTACCACACGTGATCTGGTGCGGATGCATGACCGAGCGCCTTCAGCTAGATGAGTCCACTAAAACATATGGTCAGCATTCAATGTCGAAAACTTAGGGCTATTTATTTTGGGGATTTATTTACCGCTACAGATCACTCCCCCCCTAGTGGGGCAGTGATGACCCTAAGACGTGGCCAGCCAGAAGTTTAAACCCAACGAGTTTGTCGTTGGTAAACACTCTTCTGATAGCTTACTAAGTGTAGCAGCGTCTGGTCGTCTTTCCTTACTATATGGGACGGAGGTACAACATAGTAAAAAAAGAAAATGTACAATGAAAATTTCGGATCCTCATAAACGTCATCGTTCTTTTCCAGCCGTCCTGGAAAAGAAAAAAGAAAATGTAAGTGTATGTCGAAAATACATTCGTATGTGCGTAAAAACAAAATGTCGGCGGAAAAAAATGGAAAATAAACTCATGAACAATGTAGATCACCAACGTAGACGATCTATGTCGAAAATGATTGCAGGCCTACTCGAGTTAGACGTGAATGGTGTGACAAACTAGCTAACATCGAAGTCACACCTCATGGTCAGCACCTTAAGTGGACTACCCCCATTGACGTAACAAGGTACTATAGATGCTTTGAAGACTGTACAACACAGAGGACGTTATTACAGAAATATATTAGTTAAGGTAGATACAAGCGGAAGTAATACCACTGCCGCATGGGCCAGTCCATGGCATATTAAAAATTTTTTAAAAAAAAATAATATAAAATGTCGAGAAGTGCCTTACGTGCAATAGTCGTTTAAATGTTCTGGAAATCTCACCCTTCTTCCAGAACGCGTCGTTTTAGGTTTATTTTCAGATACATGCGGAGTATCATCGCTAGTATTGGTTGTCGGTTGAGGAATTACGAGTGGAGTCGTGTCGTTCGATTGTAACGAAGGAAAATCCACGTAGATAGGATTTCCTTCTAAATACGCTGCTTTTAAGCGATCGATGCTGATGCTATCGTTGGTTCCGTTCTTATCGACTATATAGTACTTAGATTCACGTTGAAGAACTTTGAAGGGTCCTTCGTATGCTGATTCGAATGGTCGTCGATGCGAGTCTCGACGAACGAAAACGTGTGTACTATATCGTAAGTCAGGTTGAACGAAAACATCAGTTGATTGAGGTCGAGTGGAAGCAGGTTTAACTGAACGCATTGCGTTTGTAAGCCTGTTCGTGTAAGAGGTTAGATCCATGTTCATTGAAGAGGATGAAGGATCCACGAATTCTCCTGGAAGTCGAAGTGTCGTTCCATAAACGAGTTGAGCCGCAGTGTATCCAATGTCAGCTTTCACTGCATTGCGGATACCTAGTAAGACAAGTGGAAGAGCGTCGGTCCACTGTGAAACGTTTGCAGCTGATAGCGAAGCTTTCAGTTGTCGGTGAAAACGTTCTACCAACCCGTTTGCTTGTGGATGGTAGGCGGTCGTTCGGAAGCGAGTGATTCCTAAAAGTGTGGTCAGACGACGGAAAAGATCAGATTCAAACTGACGTCCGCGGTCTGTAGTGATGGTTGAAGGGCAGCCGAAGTTTGCTACCCATCGTTCGACGAAGGTGCGGGCCACTGTTTCAGCAGTGATGTCCTTGATAGGTACTGCTTCTGGCCATCGAGTGAAACGGTCTACGCAGGTTAAGAGATAAGAGTATCCATTTGAATCTGGTAAAGGTCCTACCAAATCCAGATGAACATGGTCGAAACGAGCATCGGGAGTTTTAAACGAGCCTAAGGGACATTTATTGTGTCTGATGACCTTAGATTTTTGGCAGCTTACACAGGAGCGTGCCCACTCCCTCACGTCTTTATTCATTCCAGGCCAGCAAAACCGTTCTGCTATAAGCTTGATGGTTGCACGAACACCTGGATGCGAAAGTTTGTGCAATGTGTTGAAGACATTGCGTCGATAATGTTTCGGCACGATTGGGCGATCCCTACCTGTAGACGTGTCACAAAGTAAGGTTTCGTTACCTGTTCCCATCTGTTTGATGCGTAGTTTAAGTGTTGTAGACGATAACTCGTGCTGAAGATCACTGTCTTCTTTTTGAAGCTCGGTGAGTTTAAGAAGGTCGATTCCTTGGAAACTGTTCAAGGAAGTTATGCGAGATAAGGCGTCTGCAACTACATTGTTTGCTCCAGAGATGTGTTGAATGTCTGAAGTAAACTGCGAAATGTAGTCCAGTTGTCGAGACTCACGAGGAGAGTACTTGTCAGAAGGAGAGCTTAACGAGAAAGTGAGCGGTTTATGGTCCGTGAAAAGAGTGAATTCACGACCTTCGATGTAGTGTTGAAAATGCCGTACAGCACAATACATAGCTAGGAGTTCCCTACCGAATGTGCTGTACCTCGATTCGGTGTCTAGCAACCTTCTAGAGAAAAATGCTAAGGGTTGCCAGGAGTTGTTAACCCATTGTTGTAAGACTCCGATTGCCGAGTCGGATGCGTCTACTGCGATGCTAATGGGTGCTTCGGTGTCCTGATGTGCGAGTATTGTTACTTTAGCAATCAGTTCCTTAACTGTGGAGAATGCTTTTCGTGCGGTGTCGTCCAAATTAATGGATTTCGCATTTCCACGAAGTTGGTCGGACAGAGGTTTCATGAGTAATGCGCATTTCGGTATGAAACGTCTGTAGAAACTTACGAGGCCGTTAAACGTGCGTAATTGCTTGACGGTGGTCGGTTCTGGGTAATCCAGAATGGCCGCCACTTTGGTCCTAAGAGGTCGAATGCCTTGAGCATCGATAGTGTGTCCTAGGAAGTCTAACGAGTCGGTTCCAAATTGGCATTTCTGAACGCTTACAGTTATGCCATGTTTTTGAAGTCGTTCGAAAACAAGATCCAGATGCTTGAGATGTGTTTCTCTGTCCGGACTTGCGATTAGACAGTCGTCAAGATACGCATGTACGAAGTTCAGACCTCGAAAAACGTCGTCTATGAATCTTTGGAATGTTTGAGCAGCATTCCTTAGACCGAAAGGCATTCTTAAAAATTCATAGAGTCCGAAAGGAGTTATGATAGCTGTTTTCGGTATGTCGTCAGTAGCCATAGGGATTTGGTTATACGCTTTAACCAAGTCGATTTTCGAAAAGACAGTTGTACCTTTCAAGGTAGCTGTCAAATCGTGAATGTGAGGCAACGGGTAACGATCGGGAATGGTTTTCGCGTTCAATCGCCGATAGTCACCAGTTGGACGCCAATCGTTGCTGTCCTTTTTAGGGACCATGTGCAACGGAGATGCATAAGGGCTATTTGACGATCGTATGATTCCTAAATCTATCATGTGATCGAATTCGTTTTTCGCTAACCTTAGCTTTTCAGGAGCTAGTCGTCGTGCTTTAGAGAATACAGGTGGTCCTGTAGTCGTGATGTGATGTGTAACATTACTGGTTACACACGGTAGTTTCGGTTGAGTTTGTTGTATTACCGGGTACTTATCGAGTAGTGGCTGATAAAGTGGGTCGATCATATGCTTAACTGTGACTGGGGATAATCTGCAACCAGAAAAGGAAGTTACGCAAACGGATAAATTAGTGTTTCCGTCTACTAGTCTCCGTTTGCGCGTGTCGATGATCAGATTGTGATGTTGTAGAAGGTCCATACCAATGATTGGCATAGAAACATCTGCAACAACGAAAATCCAGTGAATGGGTTTGCGTAAACCCACGTTAAGGTAAACGTACCTTTTGCCATACGTAGCGATCGGTTTTCCGTTTGCCGCCTGTAAGTTTAGAGCCGAATCTTGAAGCCGATCGTTCGGATTCGCTGGGAGAACGCTAACTTCTGCGCCAGTATCGACGAGGTAGCGAACTCTCGTTGTCACATCTGTGACGTATAACAGACGGCTATGTTCGCCGGCTACGGTTGCCGTTAACGCGTGCCGGCTTGGAAGTTTCCCGAATTGTTTTTCGGATCATTCGGTTTCGTGTTGGGAAAATTGCAGGGTTTTCTGCAATTTCTGGAAAACTTTCCATACTGGTTATGATACCAGCACCAGTCGGGGTTATCTGTCTCTCGTGGTCTAGAGACAGATCGCTTACGAGAAATGCTTCTACTTGGTGTGCGCGATCTCTTACGGTCGGTACGAAGACTAAGATAACGCGTGAGTGTGTGACATAAGTCGGTTATATCATTCTGAGTCGTGTGAGGCTTTTCTTTGACTGAAAATACCTCGGTAGTAGAAGGTTTCGTAATTTCTAAAATACGATCGGCAGATGCAGCTAGCTCGTCTAAGGCGTTGTTCTGGAACGAGACCAGAACTGCTTGCACCTGTTGGGGAAGTTTTGACAAGAAGAGTTGTTTGAATAGACCTTCGTCGAAAGTTCTTGGGCCTATTACCTCTCTCATCCGTTGCAACATGTCCGTCGCAGAACCGTGTTGCAGGTCGATATTGTTAAAGAGTTGATCTAACCTTTGTCGATCGGTTAGGTCTCCTCGTTTAAGAATCGAGCGTTTTAAGATTTCGTAAGGTTCAGAAACATCACTAGTAAACATACTAGGTGTTACGTACCTGTTGAATTCGTGCGGTAGTGCCTTGACTACTGCGAGAAATTGTGCACGTGTGTCGATCACGCCGTGCTCGTGGAAGTCGGCTTCTGCGTAGCAAAACCAGGCTTCGATGTTGTCGGGCCAGAAAGGCATCAGTTGAAACGAAGGCGGGGACAAAGTCTTAAGCTTGAGTACTTTAGGTGTCTGTTCAGTCATGATGAAGTATGAAGTACGATAATGAACGAGGGGAAAATATATATATATCCAAGAAAAAGAACACGAAAAAAATCACAATGTTTAAAAAAAAATAAAAAAATAAGGCAATGATATATAAAAATCCCAAAAAGGAACAGACTCACAGTTGCAATTAGGTGTACCAAATCACGTCGGGCTCAATAATGATGATGTCACAGGTATTCAGTGTTTGACAACGCTTCTACCAGTAACACCTTCTAATGTATTTCGTTCCCGCCCAGAGAAATCAAAAGACAGAGTCGAGGAGATCGGAAGAGTATATTTGGCGATGACCAATATATCGGAATTCTCTGATCTAATCTGGCTAGCGATTGCGGTTGATGTTGAGCACGGCGTTACCACACGTGATCTGGTGCGGATGCATGACCGAGCGCCTTCAGCTAGATGAGTCCACTAAAACATATGGTCAGCATCCAATGTCGAAAACTTAGGGCTATTTATTTTGGGGATTTATTTACCGCTACAATATGTACTTATAAATGTAAAAATCATAATACCTACCTATTTATTCTGCTTATACTACTAAACTTAAGAGACTTATTTTTTTTCTTCATTTCAAGACATCGATCAATGAATTCAATTACTTTTTGCCGACGACGTGAAACTTTGGAGAGAGATACGCAACCAAGACGATATACAGGCACTTCAGGAGGATCTGACTCGACTTCAAAGTTAAGCAGACGATAACGGACTTACCTTTAACACTTCAAAGTGTAAGGTAGTCCATCTGGGTAACACCCAGAAACTGGAAACACAACATAGCAAAACGGAATGTAGACATAACTTCTACTCCTTAAGAGTTGTCAAAAGCTGGAATTCGCTGCCGGCCGAGCTAGTTCAAGCGACTTCTCAGGAGTCCTTCAAGAGGCAACTTGACCTATTCTTAAGGAACAAGGACAGCATCACACTATGAATTACCAATTTATTTTCCTCTTTTATTGTTAACATACCTAGGTTCCTGCCTGGAGGATTTGGTGATCCCCTGCTACTAGACACGGAAGCCTGTTAAGCGAAAGCTTCTTCTATTCCGCCCACAACCATTTGAACCATTCTTAGATTAGATCGTTATATGGGCATTGCATATTGGACAAAGTATTGCAAATCGTATTGTGGTTTATTTAATGTTGTTATATAATTATCGCGTCAATTCAGGTAATGATTCTCGTTTGTATATTCTCATGTGGTTTCATATTAAAACGTCAAGGGAGTTGATTTGCTGGATTTTAAATTTGCTAACATATAGCTCTCGAGATGCTTTGATATGCTATATATAAATGATATAATTTAACAAAGCATCAAATCGGGAGCTCGTTTGCTTCATTGAGCTTGCGTTGAAGTTTAAGTCGTATTAGTCCCAAATGGAATTAGAGAGAGAATAACTGTGATACGTATACCGAAGTTCTCCCAACACATTATCTCTATCCTTATGGTTTTTCCTCACATTTCCTCTCATTTTTCCACAGCATCCACTTTGTTTCTTCAGTAATCCATAAAAAAGTATTTCCGTTCAATTATGTAATGTTACGGGAAGCGATGTCCAGAAGGCACCAGAAAACTAAACTACCAGTGTATGTCGCCTTTGAAAAACCTTTCTTCCGAAAAATTACTTGTTTATTCAACGAAAATAATCATATAGCTTCCATCTAAAACAGTTCGGTTTTTCTTAAAGTTTGTGTTCCTGACTTCTCCATAGTCAAATTAATCGAATTATCATTGGATGACGACCCAATCAACAGTCATATGTTTATTGTTAAGTGTACTTAGGTTTCATCTACAAATTATAATACTATTTGACTATTCAAACTAAGTATGACAAGGAAGAGCCCCGCCACGTGAAATAGCGGCTAAGAATAAGTTACCTTAACCACAGAGTCACTCCCATAAAAAGTGACCACGCAGTCGAAATGCTGTTATAAATACTTCTACACTCAATTTTAGCTTTTAACCACCCATTTCGGCTGATGTATTTCACAATAGTGAATACACTGACTAAACATCTAGTGTTAGAAAAATCGCTCACACATGAATTCCTGTAGCTGGTTGTAAGATAAACTAACAATACGAGAGACAAGCTGTATTGTCTAGTTGCTCAAAAAAGCTTAAATAAACATTTTGCGAGCCTATCATACAAACCTTAAGTCACATCTTAAGTTATTGTTTGGAATTCATCCGTAAATAATAGAAACTTTCCTCTTATATTGAGCATTTAAAAAGATTTAGCCGAGTTGTCGGTGAAATTCTAGTAGCGTTTCGTCAAAGCAGAAATACATGTGGTCAGATTTAATCAAACTGTACTTGACAGTTGTAGTTTTTTCTCAGTGGCTACTCAACAGCTATCGTATTTATTTCCCATCAAGTCTAAAATTTGGATAAAATAAAAATAGAAACTAATTGCCTAACTGAATATTATTGAAAATATACAGGCTGTTACATCCAGTAGTTGGAATAACAGTTGTCAAACATTTCTCACTTGCATCTATTCATTTCTATGTCTTCATGTAAAAAACTGGACTTTCATACGTACTTAAAAAATTATACCCCAAAATCTTAAGTTCATGATCATCATTTTGAAACCGTTCATGATATATTTGAGCTTCCTTTTTGTTCTTCAGGTTTCATGTCCTAGATTATTTTCAAAAATAATGGCTGTCAAGACTGAGCCTTTTCTTCTGGAACGAACTGTATATGTCGGCATAGCTTTAATTATCCCAAGTTATTCGATTTATAAGCTTTTTATCTCTTCAAAAAGTCCAGGTGAAATATTTTTTCAAATTATAATGACAAATTCAGTAAATCTAAATTTATTACGACTGAAAAATGTTAGTTTAACTCAAAATTTGGTGCTAATGCAAGATGCAGCTGAATTTCAGTGGACGTTGCTTCCGTTGTGGATGAGTTTTGTACCTCATCTTCTACTCTATTCGATCGTATCATCATTCGTTTTTGCGTTGGTGAACAAAAAAGTACTACATGCTTGTTTCTATTCAATCGGTGTAGATATTCAAATGTTGTCGAATAATATTATCAATTTGGCTAATAAATTATTTGGTGGGTTATAAAATCCTAATGGACGTCTTTTTGAACATATTATGCTTTTCATGCATAAGTTATTTGGTCTCTGGAAATTGGCTCTTGATATGGGCGTTTGCAGTTTTAGTGTTTCAAGCATCTGAATCCTTTGTAAGTTCAACGAACTATGATATTAGTTAATTCCTTAATTCTTTTACGAGACTCACTATTGTATGTGTTTTCATTTTTTAAGCCATGTAGGAAACATTTAAAGTGTATATGCTTTCACTTAGTTCGTTTTGATTTTACTGAAGTGACAGTTTGCTGCAAACGGTGAAAAGACTAAATCTGTTTATATAAAATACTGGCGAACACCAAAGTAATGGAGGTGTTTTTGATACTTTTTGTGTTAGGACTCAAACTAAATAGCACTAACGATTGCTTAATCTTTTACAAAACGCTTCATCAAAAAAGGGATTTATTTTAGATTTAATGTAAAGCGTATTAAAAAGACTGAAATAACTCTTAAAATAGATTGAATTGTATCAAAATGAAATCACTGTAGTAGTTTTTAAAAGTTCGATGATTTCTCGTATATGTCCATTACACAAGTATAAAATGTGTTACAAAGTTTCGACAATGTAGCTTACAACTTATTATGGAAGTTTATAGTCATTAAAATACAAAGATTTCGTTCTAAAGCACGAATTACCATGAGTGTTTTCAAATTGTTCACTTTTACTAGAAACCAAACCACTTGTTCTTACATTTTGCTATGCAAATTCCTAAAGCATCTAAAAGTACAAAGCACTTAGTTCTTATTTCCGTATGTGATATTGATAAACAACAACCACAGCTTCCAAACAATTTCAATTTTAACTCTAATCAGATTGATATTTCAATGATATATGATAATCTCTTATTAAAATTAAGTTCATATTGCTTACTTTGTCTCTTAGAGTTTATTTGTGGAAAAGTTGTAGTGACAGATATGTTTTATCAAATCTACCAGAAACCCTTTCTTGTTAAGTTATCTTCTCGAATTTTGATTACTTGAATGGAAACTAATTTGTCCAAAATCTTTAAAATTCCTAAAAGTAAGAAACAAAACAGCAATCAATTTTTAAGAGGCAAAACGGAGGCGTTTTGTTGTAAACTTCTTTTATTCTTAAAAAGATAACCATTTGATTCATTAGATGTATCTTTCAAATTGTGGATTGGTACAAATATATAAACATACGTAAATATTTTTGATGTGTTTGTTAACAATTATTATTTCCATATAACTATATATATGAATGTACTGCTTAAGTAAATGATTTCGTCGTTAAAAATTTCCTCACTAAATTCTTTTTTTCCTAACAATTATCAACTGCTTATCACCTCTTGTGTTTTATACATTGCTTAAACCAGGAATCATCGTTTAACTTTGGATTGATATCATACGACTGGTATATGATCTTGTATGCGGCGCATTTTTATATAGTTCTACGCAGTTTAAGTGTGGCGTTATCGTTCCATAAATGTTCGAACAATTTTAAGTCATCTTTTGTCAAAAAGACAGAAAAAGAGGAATCAATCATTAACTGTGCCCCTAAATCCTCACTAGAAAGTTTATTGGATGCATTAGACTATTCTTTATACCCTCATTCATTGCTGTTAGGTCCATTCGTCTTGTATTCAAATTGGGTTAATTTCTGGGTAAGCATTCTCATAAAAATATTATTTTATTTTTATATAATTTCTCAACTTCTGTACAACGATCATACATGTATATTATTGGGGAAGATCCAACATATATGTTAGCACTTTAGTTATATTTGTTGGTCAAAGTAGTCAAATTTATTAGTATTATAAAGTGTATACAGGTACTAGGCTAGTGAATAATTGGCGCCAGCGATCGCCCAGTTCAATGTATTTAGATCTGACCATTGGTCAGTTAAGTAAATAATTCAGTAGATTTAGATTTGGTTATGAATCTACAGATTTATTTTCGATAAATTATAAATCAAAATCTCCGTTATTTTTCATTCATAACAAGTGATACGTACTAGCTGTTCCATAGTTAAAGCAAGAAGACACTGATTTTCTTCAAGTCTCGGCATATATATATACTTATTGATTACAGTAAATAAAAAAGGAAGACATCTTATAAAAGGTGCTTTTATCGAAATATATCCCTAAAACGAGAAGCAGCAGATTTTGAATATCCCAGTAAAAAATACATTTGAAATCCATATTTATTTACAGTGTGTCTCATTATTGGTTATTTAAATTAATCCATCAAAAGTTACGAGTATACAATAAGTATACGTTGCAGCACCTTCTGTTATACATATATTTAACCGAAATATTGGTTATACTTGCGTTACTGCATATTTTCATGTAATCTTAGACTGTTTAACTGTACATTTACCATAATTGTTGTTGAAGAGTGGTTCTGTGGACTGAACTACTTCGGAAAGTCTTGATGCATTTATGTTCAATTTTACGTAGTCGTTAAATATGTGATAGTAACTTTATTCATGAATATTGTTGTATATGATAGTCAATCTTTCATTTATATGACACTGAAATATTTTTCATCTGAATTATGATGGCACTAGAGAAGTAGTTTAAAAAAGGATACCCGTTAATATTTTTATTTTAATAAATGAATGTATTACTACTTGTACTTGAAATCAATTCGTGAAATTAATTATGCTTTACATACTAATTTGGCGCTAAACACTGATATTTGCTTTTATAAACAAATTCAAAATCTTCGCGAAAAACGTATTCTTCCAGTTAATGTGGCTATCTTAGAAAAATAGCAACAAAGGAAGAAATATAATCTTTTGAAATGATTTCCCACCAGCACACTTGTCAAAACTTTAAATTACAATGTGAACTGTACTAGCGACTTTGGATACATTAGAATCTCACTTGTAGAAAGGGGTTTCTTTGGAAGTTATATTTCTAAATGTAATTCTTCATTTAACTACATTACTGAAAACTTTGTTGTAGGATTTAGTGACTCTTTGTATCTGACCCCATTCGGATCGTATGAATGATTGTTATTGAAATATGCACGTCACCAATCCTCGTCTATAATTATCGACTTAAATCGCGTTAGTGAATAACGGAATTAAATAAGTCAAATACGAGAATGGATTTCGAACACGTATATTTCGTACAATCGTTGATCGGAAGCGAAGTAAAACAAAATGACGCACAGTGGTGACAGCAAGTGAGCCAACTTAATTTAACAAGGCGTGAATCGAAATTTATGGTCAGACAAAAATAAGTTAGAGACATGTGATGAGTAAGATATGAAATGCACACATATATGCTTACATAAAAAGTCAAGGTTGATAAGCGAATAATTGACAAGACCAAAATGTGATTTAAGAAGAATGAATAAGTTGGCCTGTCCGTAAGCTAGAATAAGCTATGTAGGCTTGATATAGCAACCGACACTACAAGGAATTCCATCCAAATACGGGCAAAATGAAATGATTTTTCTCGTCTGTTAAGTGACTGATTATTGTCATATTGTCAATTATCTTTATGAAAACCTGGAAGAAACAACTTGAACAATCCCTTGATTATCTATTCCAACAAGAATCATCATACATCGACAATGAAATATTATGCCAAGTAGATCACTGAAATTTTTAACTAAACACTTCTGTCATATAACCTCAGCTTCCTTTTTAATTTAGTTGTTGATCCTTTACTACTCGTTATTAAGCTAATATGCTAAAGCGATTCTCATGATAGCATATTATTTTTATCACACTGGGATTATTTTAAACCTCATTTAATCGAATGCACAATTTTAATTGTTTAATACAATAAGATAACAGGAGTGAACTGTATTATTTTTTTAAATTGCAGGAAAATCTTGATAGTTTACATTCCAATCATCTGTCACCCAGTTTTAGAACATTACTCGACACACTGATATCACTTGTTTCCAAAGCTATCCGGTTGATATTCTGGAGCTCATTTTGGTCATTATGCCTTTGTATAGTTTATCCGAATTCATTCGGTTATTTGATTTCTTATGCACAAATTAGTGAATTATCTATACAAAATAAATCAAATCAGTACTATCTTATTATTGATCGTGGTACAGTGGGTGCGAGTATTTATTTACGTAGTTTACATTTATTCATTATATATTTACAATTTTATGGATGGCCATACGTACTTTCAAATTTCGAATGCCTACTCATAAATTTGTTACAGAAATTATTGAATATTCTTCAATCATGTGGGCGAAACACCAAAGCTACTACTACTGTCACTGATCAAACAAGAAAATCTCATAGTGACCCAAGCCTAATTCAGGTTTCGTTTATGCCTGAACCACCAGCATGTCTCTTACATTTCCTTCTGATTTCTGAATGTTGGCGGTTAGTTTACAATGTACTTCTGTTCTAATAATGTGATGTTTCTGAAAGTCGTTGCATCTTTTTTATATAGTAAAATCATTCAGCGTTTGCCATAATCCCTTCAAAACCTGAATCTGAAACAGATATATCAATAATGTATTAGTTTTTTTAATTATGCGCTTCATGCACTTTAGGGATAATCCATATAACTGGTGGTTGATATTCAAAAGGACTGTTTATACTTATTGTCTCAGAAAATATTTTTCTATCGGAGTTATCTAGTAAAAATGAAATCAGACCAACTATGCACATCAAATCCGTGAACAATTCACCTCATTTGTTGAGTATTTTGCTTCATTGCCTTTTGAATGGGGATATGTTCAGACATCTCATCGTATTGATTACTTGCGCAGTGCTTTTTGTCTAATTATATATTGATCATAAGTGGATAGGTTTGAAGTAACGGAGCAGTCAGTTAGAATCCTAGCACAAAATATCATCTTCATACAAATATATGATTGTTTTCTACAAGATATACACCAGGAAGCTTATTCATTTGTATTGGTTGTTTGAATCTTCCCATTGGTGTTATAAACTTGTCTCTTTTGGCATGTATGCATTCTGTGTAGATTGCTTTGATGTTTTCATTAAGTCACAGGCATTTTGGGATTGTGGATAGCAGTAGAACCTAGGACCCACATTTCGTCCTATCTGGGGCTCGTCAGCTGGATGTTTCTGTACCCATGATGATGTTCGCATCGGGATGCAAGCCCAGAACCTTTCGAACAGTGGATAGTGTTGAAGACGTTTGACTCGAAATTCACTAAGCTCGAATCCTGATGTGAACATTACTAGTCCAGGCACATCCAGCTGACGAGCTCCAGACAGGAGGAAACCTGCGTTCTGGACCCCACTGCTTACTACTATCCGAAACTTTTTGTAGATAGGATGATCATCGGTAAAATTATCCAACTTAGTAACCATACCTTACGAAGTTGAATAAGTGAGGAAACTCCAAACTGAAAGACATCTTGCATCATTTATGCCATTTCGCTTAATTTTGAACATTTTCTTTCTAGATAGTGGTGGTTCTATCAACATGTTAAATGTAACGATTTAATTCTTGATTTAGTGACTTTCAAAAAATTTATGGTCAGCCTAATTATTATATCTGACAACTTTCGATAGTGTAATGAGAAGATGGAGTTGATGTGAAAATTATGGTGTATTCTCGTCATACATTTTTAACAATCTGGTCACACAAATGCTTTTCAAGACTTTATACGCAAACTAATAAATGTCATAGAGGGGGATTGTCAAGAAGTTCCATATTGGGATGAAACAGGTGTCCAGTGCGTGCTGATTTTTAATGGTGATCTGGCTCATATCAGTTCGTGATTGAAGTCATGAGAATCCTACGACTACCACAAAACCCTTTCCTATACTAATTAGAAAAAATCTCAACAAAATAAAGCGATAATTGGAAGTAAAAGTGGTGATGTAAAGTAAAAAGAATAAGAACTTTCTACACTGCCCTAGGACGTAAAAATGAAATAAAAATTATCAATCCAAGTTCAAGGTTAGGACAACTTGTGTTTGTTCACAAATTACGTTAAAGTTTATCATCAAATACTAACTTCATTTACTCGTCATCTTTGTACAAAATGTAAATTAATAACCAAGAATTTATCATGTGTAAAGTTTATATTAGCCTTACCAGACATCCTTTTGTCTATCAGGGTCCTATGTGACACAAAAAATATCGCTTTTCAGTACAGAATACCAATTCTTTCAACTTTTTTAGATTATGATAGTTATATCCACATTAAGTCCAACTAACACCCACCGTAAACTTGAATACAGTAGCCTGGTTTATTCTAGTGTTTGTAAATACATACTGAATGACATCTACTACAGAACATTGTAAAGCTGTTTTATTTTATTTTACGACTCAGTAGTTTGAACCAACTAACGCACGTAACATCAAGTTCAAGAACTTTAGGTCCTAATGAAGTGCATCACTTCTTTTATGTCACCAAATCCATCATTTTGTCTTTTCAACTTGAGCCTATTTGTTGTATAATACGATTTTCGTCCAATTTTATTAATTTGTAATTTTTCACTTCCACAGTTCATAGTTTACGAATAGAACTTCACGAAATCCATGGTAAAGTTATTCACTGAACAAGACAGTTGCTTCGTAGGGACTTCATATTCGTAACGTTTATTCAATCTTTTAAATCGCTTATAATCTTGTTTCTCATGTTCAAATGTTTCAGGTCATTCGATCGCGGATTGTACAATTTCATTAAATCGTAAGTTTGTGCTTTTGTCGCTCGATTTTTTTCCTGATAACCTTCTTATCCATGTAATCCAGTTGACCTTTTATTTTGTCAATATTATCTCCACGTTTTTTTTAACTTCAAGCAACATAAATAATTCTCATTGAGTTTCAGCATATTTTTAAACCTTGATGCATTAACAGCTTAAGTCATTTTTCATAGGTAAATAATTTACAGTTAATAATTTTGATAATTTAGTAAAAATTTTGACATCAGTAAATCATCTATGATAGTCGTGACTTCCTATTCTTATATGTATCATTTTTATCTATTAAGATATATCATTCATGTAGTATTTATTATCTATTATTATTTATTTGAACACATATATATTAGCACAGGAGTGCGCCAAATATATATGCGCCACACAAAACAATGAGAATTTAAGAAGAAAAAGAAAAAAAAAGGGGGAACGTACAAAAAAAACAATAATGAAGAGATTGGTGTAAGGTTGTGTAATAATAATAGTAATAATAGGGAAACAGAAGGGTACAATCAGAAGAAATCTTTCAGTTAAGGAAGATACAATCACGTTTTGTGAAGAAAGTAAAAGAAGGCTGCAGCAGGATCGCCACTGGCTTCTATTCTGAGCCATATCTGATAACGTCTCTAGCCACTGTGATGCACCAACTCTCGGACCCCAACCAGGGAGTCGTGAAGGACCAACACAAGCCAGTCCTTTGCAGCTTTCTTTCATGCCACGACACCATGTCATACACTGACCACCTCCGCTTTTTCCAACCAGTCCCAGAGTCGGCAAATAATGCACGACGTGGAAATCTCTGGGATGACATTCGTAGAACATGTCCAAGTCACCGAAATCGGTGTTTCAAGATGGTGACATCGATTGCATTATCATCTCTGTGCCCAAACACACGATGCCGAACCTCTGCATTACTGACATGGTGTTGCCACTGGATGTCAGCAATCCTTCGGAGACAACGATGGTCAAACACAGAGAGTCGTCTAACGTCCTCAACTCGGAGAGGTCAGGTTTCACAAGCATAGAGCAAAATTGCTCTCACCGACGCGTTGTAGATCCGACCTTTTACAGCCAGACTAACATCACGAAGGCGCCAAAGGTGGCCCAGATTGGCATAAGCCGCTCTGGCTTTCACTATACGTGCATTGATCTCATCACTCACATCTCCACCAGCACTTATGCAGCTACCCAGATACACGAACTTCTCGATTATTTCTATCTGCTCACCATCCAGGGTGAGTACAGGATTAGAATCCCGCCAGTCTTGTAGAAGTACTTTGTGCTTCGAAGGTCCAAAGCACATACCATACCTACGGACACTGATTGCCAACTGATTAAGTGCGGATAGCATGGCTTGGGCATTATCGCACAGTAAGACAATATCATCCGCATACTCAAGGTTGAGAAGTCTTTCTCCAGGCAACAGATCCACACCATCATTACTTACATCCATCAGAGCTGTTTCCAGAATGTCATCGATGGCAAAGTTGAAGAGGAATGGTGGGATTGGGCAACCCTGCCTAACCCCACTGCTCGAATAGAACAATGGAGAAAGGCGGTTGTATGCCCTCACTCTGCCTGAGGTGTTTGTATATAGGGCTTTTAGGATGTTAATAAACTTCTCAGGCACACCCTTCTTCAATAGACAATCCCAGAGAACAGTCCTATCCAACGAATCGAAGGCAGCCCTGATGTCAAGAAACACTACGATTGTTGGCCTTTGAAAAGTATGACGGTGTTCTAACATTTGGCGGAGGGTGAAGATATGATCAATACATCCTCCACCAGAACGAAACCCAGCCTGCTCGTCGCGAGTCAATCTTTCTCGGGTTTTGAACAATCTACGAAGTATGACGGAAGCCAATAGCTTGGACGCAATCGGAAGTTGACTTATCCCCCGATAGTTGTAACAGGAACGATGTGAACCCTTTTTAAAAATAGAGACAACTATCGACTCATTCCATGACGTTGGTACACTCTCTAGCTCCCAGACCTTTGTAAACAACGTCGTCAGTTCCTTAGTCAGAAAGTCACCACCATCTTTAAAAAGAGCCTGAGGTAAGTCATCTGGGCCAGGTGATTTGTAACGCTTGAAGAGTTGGAGTTCCTTGCGGACTTCCGCCTCATTTGGTGGATCAGTCGTCACCGGGCATGGAGGGCAGGACAGTCTGATCGATGTTGCCAGAGCAGCAGGCCAGTTGAACTGCCCTTCAAAAATTTCTGCCCCCCGTCCAAGACGTCGATGGATGTGATTGGCATCCCATCATCTTCGCAGATTGTTTCGCTCACACCAGACTTCTTGCTGCCAGTGGCTCGGATGAGTTGGAAGAGCTTCCGGTAATTACCAGATGCAGCTGCTGCTTCCAGCTCATTAGCACGCTCCGACCACCAGGCTTCTCGGTCCTTATGCAAGCTTTGCCCAATTTCACTACATAACAACCTTCGTTTGTGGTCAAACTCACGGTCACCCGGAGTAGACCGACGGGCTTCAATGAGTTGTAAGGAACCAGAAGAAACCCAGTGCTTATAAGCGGGACGTTTCGCGAACCCACAACTGACTGTACCCGCCATTTTCACGGCGTCATGCAATTGCAACCAATGCTCATCTATACTTTTCGGTGGAATGGTAGCTAGCCTAGAATCTAGCTCGGTTCGATACTTACTAGCAACAGAAGTTGCACCCAGCTTGCTAACATCAATCCGTTGGAGGCGATCACTTCGTTGTCCACTGAAAAGTAAGGTAAGATTGGCGCAGACCAAGGCATGGTCAGAGTCCAGATAGGTACTTCAAAAGGAGCGGCAGTCTAGTACACAACCACGCCAGCGGTAGCTGATCGCGATGTGATCAATCTGAGTCCAGGTTTGAGATGCAGAGGGAGGACGCCAGGTGGCACATCGGCGATGACTGTGCCGACTGTTAGTGCTAGCCAGAAACAGGTTGTGGTCTGTGCAAAGTTGCAGTAGACGGTCCCCGTTATCTGACCTGCGACCAACGAGTCCCCATCGGCCACCTAAACGACCCTCTTCTGTGCCTAGACGCCCGACCTGCGGATTCAGGTCTCCGGCTAGTACTACAATATCTGTCGAACGCACTTTCTGGAGAAGAACAGTTAACTGGTGGTAAAACGCATCCTTGATTGCATCCGGGCTGCAATCTGTCGGAGCATAGGCGGAGATGACGAAGAGACATCGTTTCTCACGCCGATTTCTTCTCACTTTGATGGAACTTTCTAATCTAACAGCACATAACCGACTGTTAATGGGGATCCAATCGATTAGTGCTGCCTCAGCTCTAGCGCTTTGTGCGGCACCAACGCCAGCAAGACCAGACGAAGATGCCACAGGGTCCTCGGATAAACGCACGTAAAACAAACTTTTCGAAGCGACAGATGGAGAGCGAATTTGTAGTACTTCACCAGAGTCTTGAATACGGGTCTCGGATGGACAACAAACATCGATATTAAGACTTTCCAAAGACATAGCCAGCCCTATCTGTTGTCCGACCTGAATTAGTGTGAGAACATTGAAGGCACCCAGTTTGAATGGTGCTCGTGGTTTCGGAAAAATTGCTTCAGTATTCGTATTTGGTGGTAATATACAATTTTCAACCGGACAGTGACTCGAGAACGTTTAGATAGAGTCGAATTTCCACCATAGACGAGCTGCTGTATAAGTCGAAAAAAATAAGTATAAACAGAGTGGGAATAAATGAGGGTGAATAATGACGTAGTAAATAATAATAATAGTAATAATAATAATAATAATAATAATAATAATAATAATAATAATAATAATAATAGCAATAATAATAATTGAATCATTTGAATGTTCGTCGACGCAAGAGAATTAGTTTCCATGATCATAGACAGTTCAGTTCATTAATTGCGTGTGGGCTGCGATACTGCCCGGGTGCCCAGACCGAAGCAGGTGGTTATCTTAGGGGGCCACACCCCGAGTCTAACCCACAAGGCAGTGGAGCATCGTGAGGAGATGCACTCCCATGGTAGCCGGTGACCAAAAATTGGTTCATACGCCTTTTGTTCCCGCAGGATACTGGTACCCATGTGCACCATTGATTTGTGATCCGGTTAAAGCGCCGGACATTCGCTTTTCGTCCTCCCATTTTCGTAAACAACACCCCCGTAACGAGAAGGCAGTGAGTAGGACTTCCCTGGCAGAGGCTGTATACGCGTGGCCGTGTGAGAGTATTTCGAGAGAGAGAGGGCGAACCCACCCCGCTCTCGGCCATACCAGGGCATTTGGGGGCATTCATGTAGTAATTAATCTATTTACACTTTATCCTCAATGAGACTATGATTATTCTATGTTGAGTAACAGAAATGCTGATCACTGTTACCAATAATTTACTTAGTAGTTTAATTACCAGCAAGATGATTCCCATATAAACAAATTCCCATGTGTTGGGTGGTTGAAAGCAGTTATAAACAATAAAGCATACCTGCAGTGTTGGGAGAACTGATGCTCCCTAGTGGATTCTACCCAGAGTCACCCACAATGAGGGACTTTTCCGCTGACCTATTCCGCCCGTGACTGACCGAATTCAGATTCTTTCTTGTTTATCATACGCACCTGTTAAATGTAAGTAGTGGATATTATGTTGATTCATAAAATTTTTAGTACAAATATCCGTATCATGTCAAAATTGAAACATTTATTAAAAAATACTTCTCAAACGTCCATACATTCATTCTTTGTTTAGACTAGTAAATATATTACTGAAATTAAGCTTTTTAATTTGCTATAAATTATTAATTACAAATGTAGTAAGATTATGATCAGCTTTTCTTTTTTTTAAAAATCTTTTCCAGTTATATTTTTATACCTGTTATGAAGTTCAATTTACCGTCAAATTATAAACATTCATTACTATTAATTCCCTTTCCTATCATTAAAAATTGGTTAGCGCTTACTTTATCCTATTCATTTGTTCTTTTATATCATGGAATTGATAAAACAAATGGTAAATGTCTTATTTTTTTAAAAATTGTATTCATTTTTAAATGCTTGGATCAAGTTGTCACAATTCAGAGCTGACAATGATCTATATTGAGAATCACTGAAATTAAAGTTGTTGTCTTGTTAAGACAATTTCCATAAAAAGCTTGTATTTAATAAAACATAAAAATTATTTAAGTTATCTATGTAAACTATTGGATGTCAGTTTAGTGGTATAAAAGCTAAGCGTTCACTGCGAGAGATGAAGGTCCTGAACTCGACTGAATATGAGGTCGGCGATATGAACTATTGAGGAGTCTCATACAAGGACAAAATAGCTGTTCACTGCTTCCTATTGTTCAATGGTCGTCTAATTGGGATTAGTTCGTAATGTAAACTATCAAAAAAATATATAGAATTAACAATTAATTTTCATTCTGTGTAACATAATTATATTGTTAAATATTTTTATTTGGTCCCAATTATTGACACAAGAACGATAGATAAATGAACTTAGATGATGTATCGTTACACTGAGATAAAACCTTTATGGTAATTTCAACGTAGAGAAACACTAACTTGTTACCATGTGTGTAATAGTATACGTTCAGTGCCTAATTGAATTTTCTTATCCAAGTTGAAATAAGCTAAACAGTTGGGTAAATCAATGACCTTATTTTCTAGACAGCTTCAATTGTTAATTTAAAAAATCGGGTTTCAAGTACTTGTCTGTACAGAGTGAAGATATAAATACACATAGATTTCCCTGAACTGTGCGCAATAATTACTTCATACCTATGAATCTATGCAGTACTTACACTGAAGTGACCTCATTTACACGAAATAAAATATTTGATGCTTCAAGAACGAACTCATTTGAACAGACTACAGTCCATTTTGCTTAGGAATTTTAGTAAAAGATTCTAGTTATCGTAGAATTAAACCAACCAACCAATCTCTATTTACTAACGATGTGTTTACCAGTAATCACCATTGATTTGTGTCATTTTATAGTTTGAAAGCTTGGAACGAATGTCCTCTATCTTTCACAACTGACATAAAATTTTAAAGATGTATCTCCGCTGGTTTACGTAGAGCTAATACTAATGCTTCTAGAAACCAAAAGCTTTAACCTCAATGATTTCTTTCTTTAAGATCTTACAATCGCTTTCGATGTAGGAGATCAAAAATACCACATAATATGGTCACTGTCATCGAATAATTCGACTTAATCACTCTAAATAGAAAATACAGGTTCTACGATTATCAAAATGATTAAAATTGATGAATTCCACACTTATTTAATCATCTCGGCAAAACTCTAATTTATGGACGAATCTTAAATGACCTTGACGATTATTAGCCAATCAAAAGACAGTTAGTATAAAGTAAAAATATATTGTAAGAAACTAATGAATTACAGTGGATATTTTTCTTTTACATGATTTAAAAACTTGTTAAGGTTTGATAAAGGTTCAGATGTTCTGAAATCATAATGCATGCGATATAGGAACTCGTCAACATGGCTCCATAACAGTCGTCCTCTAGAGCCGTGGTACGGTCTTAAAAATTCCTTCAGTCTGGACCACATGGCTTCAATATTATTAGTATGAACGCCGGTTGTAGGGTCGACGAAATGGCGCTTGTGCACTACGACATGATGCACATACCCAAGTCCATGCAGGCATCTATAAGCTCTCCAATCATCCGTATATACTGTAGTGCCCGGCTGCACGTATTCCTGTATAATTGGTACTATTGTGCTTGCTTGCCGGTTTCTGACCCTCTGAAAATGCCCTTTTTGCGTTGATCGATCATAAATTCCAAGTACCTGTCAAGTATATTTACGGAAGTGCTACTTACCCAATCTTCCTTGATGCTACGTCCGCTGTTTTATTTTCGCTTTCTCACTACTGTTTCATCTATCTCCTCATTACATCCTTATCCTCCGAATGATTGGTGTAGACGTGTCATTTTAATTGCACACATGTCACGACAATACTCATACCACTGGAATCCTGAAGCTTCGGTAACATCTGCAAACGCCGCAGCCAGTGTTACTGGTGTCTTTATTATCCAATTTGCAACTATTATCATGATCCGCCTCAGTTTCAGTCGCGATCGAGCGAAGAAAGTTCCCGTTCGAGCAGACGTTTTCCTCTGACATAAAGAACAACGAAATACAATCTCATCACGGTAGTCTGCACACTTTACTGCAGTCATTTGATAACCGCAGTCACAGGTACAGGAACTTCCTAGTAGTCTCATCTCTTGTAGCCTCTCAATAATCACCTCTTCTCTAAAATCTGCTGTAAACTGACCGTATGTGGGCATCAGGTGTTGAACTTCGCTCCGTTACATTGAAATTGCTCAAGCGCTTCTGATTGGCTCGTCCATAAATTAGAGTCTCACCATCATCTCCAGTCATAATGAAAGGTGAATGTAGACCAATTTTCGAAAATTCAGTTGAAACTTCGAAGATAATTGGAGTATGGTTGATATAGGTTATTTTAAAAGTTCATCCGAATATTTGATTTACCAGTAGTTCACAGACTTTAGCTAGACAAAAGGATTTTTAAGCAAACAACCAAAATTATTTATCATACCTATGAGTTGAATATTACTAATCTCATATTCACTATAACATGGAGCACCATTCATCTTAATATCTGCAGAAAAGTTTTAATTGTCCTTACAAGAAAACCAGTGATACTTGGATATGTGTAAAAAAGGTAGATTGATAGTCATCAGAAACTTTTTGAGTCATAAAACAGTTTATGTTTCTATACATTGTCACTAGTTACATAAAAATCTTATGCATTTCATTCTCTGTTCACTCATTTAAACGACAGCTTAGGATTTCTGGAGATCGTAGTGCAGTGAACAAGAACACCAATAGGGACACCCGGATATATCGAAACACAAAATTACAGAACATTTTAGTAAAATTTGAGAACCATACAGTAAATACTTAATTTGCAAAATATCAATCAGTTGTCTCAAACTGGACTGTTTCTTTTTCAGATAACAGTCCATCATCCTAGTTTTCATTGTTCCTGCATTTCCATACCAATTTCTCTTCGTCCCCGTTCTTTCCTTCTCGATCTTCTACTGAAATACATTCTATTCCTGACTATCGTTATATACTACTTATGTGGATATAAATAGCTCACACCGCAGTAGTATTTAAACAGTTGGATTCGCGAGTCAATCTAAGCTAGATCAATTTCAGGATTCCTTCATTGCTCGTTTCAAGTAGCTGGTGAAATCACTTTTCAACATAGGTTAATGCTGCATAGTCAATCTACATAGTTATCTTTTTTTGTTTAACTGCTTACATGGCTTTAAAAGTGTATTTCATTCGCCGATGTTTCATTTAGTTGGTTCGAATTTCGAAAGTATGCGTGATGCAAAATCACAGAATATTGTACACGCATTATCAGCATCTCCAATATTCCCAAATGAGTTGACATAAATATCTCTGAATAAAACTAATTTATCCAAAAATAATTCATTATAAACTGAGACTAGTTTAAGAACCACTGAAAATCAGAAAATATTAAACACCTGATTTGTTTTCGTTCAAAGGATCGTGATAGTGCTCAATCTCTTGTAGCTCAACTGTAATCAAGCCTAGAGCATCCAAATTTTGTGGTGATTACAATGACTTTAAACCTCATAGTAAGTCAGAATCCGATATTATGCATCTCGTCGATGAGGACTATCTTTGAGTCGAATAACTCTTTACGAATAACCTAACTAACTAATCATTATAAATGTGACAAGTTTAGAGATGAATTTCTCAAGTTCCAGTAAAAGCTATGGCCCCTGTGGAGTCAACAATGTTAGAGGTTGAGCTGATACTCATTGAAGCCATTCGGCACTGGTGCCATTATTTCATGTATACTACAGAATTTTAGATCAGTGATCTAAAAACAGGATCATATTGATCACCAGAACTCAATATATTATACATTTTTGATAAGTCCCACCCTTTGATGATCCAAATGTCTTGTGAAACATGGTTCATTTTATGCCGGTCCGTAATTAAAACCGAAATCATCATCCTGAAAAAATCTTTAGAAAAGTTTGATCTATCTGTACATTTATTAAGAGTTAAATTGATGTTAAAAGGTTTGAACTCATGGTTACGTAAATAGCACATGTGTTCATAATCGCTGCTGTAAGGTCTATACTAATAATAATGCCAATCCTTAAACTTCTTTTTGATTATTTTTTCTTCATGTAAAGCAATTTGGTTATCGACAAATTTACTGCTTTTATTTTCTGAACGTTCCGTGAAATGGATTTATCGATGTACTAATCTTGGATCAGAAATTGTACGTCTTTAAAAAAAATAACCATCATTTTTTCTGTGATTAATATTGAGTAATTTTGCTTGATTTGTTAGAAGAGTTTGCATTTGCAAAAACATTGATCATTAAACTTTTGTTCGATCATAAATCCTTTCTTCCGAAATATTTGATTGACTAACCATTTTCATGAAGATTATATTGATAGTCATGTTATTGTCGAAGTGGTATCAGTATATACTTTACTGAGTTTGGACTATTATTATTTTGGGTTTTATGAGTGCGAAACTTGTTATGTGTAAGCTACAAAAAGTCCAGATTTCTCAGTAATATAAACACTAAATCGCTGTACTAAACTATTTTCAGTATAAAGCGACTGTGGAGATTGTTGGGTTTTCCAGTTTTCTATCACGAATTGACCATAGTTGGACAACCACCAGAGATTAAGAAGCACTCAATGGTTGTTTATTCTAAGTGTGGGACTCTTCATCAATGCACATCCACAAACCTAACAGAGATTGGTTCGAGCATTGTAGTGAGTATCTAAACTAACTTTAGTCAACGAGAAATAAGGGGCGGATGGATTCTTACGGTTTTACTCGGCTTCAAAATGTCTCCTAGGTGGTCATAAAATTTCATTTTGCTCTATGATTTGGAAATTCTTCAACCGTATCTTACATTCTTTTACCATTCAAACAAACGTTAATTCATCCGGTAAAGTTTTAATTTATATTCATAATATATGCAGTCAAACTTACTAATCACACTAGAGTTGAATTTTTCTCAAGCTCCAAAAGATTAACTTGTTCAAGAAGATGAGAAATTGAGAAAATATGGGAGGGAACTTGTCTAAGAGTGGAAAATTAATGTCATAGATTACTCAGCATGGCCACTGGTTGGTATTCAGGCATTATTTTGCCATCTCAGTCGTGTAGGCCATTTGCGCACCGAATATTTCTAAACGTCAACACTAGATAACACAGATCTATATCTCACAGAGAGAACCAGTTTACTCGATATTTACAATATCGTTTACTAAAAAGTATCGACTATAACAAAACTTAGTTCCAGGGATTCTTGTTTATTGTCTCGAATCACTAAAGATTACCCAATCATAACAAAAGAATAAGCTCATATCACTGCATTATTAGTGCGACGTCAAGAATTTACAGTCTGATTTTTGTTGACCACTAAACTCTGATGGTAAAAGCTTTAGTGATAAACATACCATCCAAAACACTTGAGAATTAACCAAATTTTATTTTGGAAATCTTTTTATAAATGACTATTTAGCGTCATCAGTTGTCTGATAGATGGATTCGACGTCTTTCACTGTTACTTTGTGCAACCAGTGGAATTTTTTCAGTTTTGGGAAATTCGCACTTCCTCTTCGGTTCGAAAGTTGCAAATCAACTAGCTGTGTGGTTGATATATGATCCAAGTTAGTTGTACTATTTTTTAATTGCATTTTAATGGCTATGGTAACATATTAAGACGTCGTCCGTAAGCGTAAAACATGCTTAGTGGCAAAATCCCCTATAAAAAAACTGGACAAAAGTCCATTTGTTTTGAAAATATTTTTCCACGTTTACTTTCAATGATGTATTTGAAGAGTAACTAGCTTATTAATAAATTACACTGTTTCGTTTATTAATGTGTACAATAGGTTGCTCTGTCAGTAGGTCACCATTAGTATACGTTAACTTGTAATGTATGCCTTGTTTCATACTAGTCCATGATTTTTGGAAAATAGGCTTGATCACGAACTGGGAACAGAATAAAGACAAGATGTAATTTGACCTATGTTCTGTGAAATTTAAAGATAAGATTTTTGCTTTTTAACAAATTTGTGGTATTACCTCTTCTGTGAAGAGGGAACTGAGGTTGTAATCTAACGTCCTAATCGTAAAAATGTGAGCAGAATAGAAATTTTAAAAATTAGTGATTCACCAGACAGATTAGTAGATAAGTTATACGCAAGTAAAAGACATGTTTTAGATGGATAAACTAACTGGGTATCTATAACTCGAATAACTTAAAATAAAAGTCATTCAAAGTTGGATCATTCTGATGTTTCAGTAGTTTTCATGATAAACTGATTTAATTCGAAAAGCTATTGCAAAAATGATATTGGATGTAAGTGATAATTTGAAATAATCTCGACTATTGAAATTAAAACGATTCCATCACTTCGACCGGAAAACTGGTCTGAGCGTCTTCAAGGAAATATTTCCTTATATATACTTGGCACCCGATTTATGGCACACTATTCGTCCAAATTTTGATGAATGTTTATATAAATGAATAAGTAATGAGCTTTATTTATTTCTTCTTAGTAATACACTCTCTGAGGCCAATTATATCCGATCACATTTTCTGTATTATGGGCTAAAGAAAATTCACCACGTAAAACATCATTAATGTTGCATAATTAGGTGATAATCCTTGAAAACTGTTATTCACACAAAATATCAGATTTATTGTAAAAGATGCCTCAGCTTTCATGTATAATTCAATCCAGTTTGAGAGATAACGTAAAGCATGATGGTTGACAAATATGAAATAGATATTTATGTAACTCATGCTAATTTAGTTTAACAAGGGTGGTGGTTAAGGTAGAAGTGCGACTGTAGAATTATACCTTTAATCATGATACATATTTTTGTATTATGAGCCCAGGACAGAGTCGGTTGGAGATTTCTGGTGGGTGTCCTGTGCTACACGATGGGTAACAGGCGTAAGATAAGATGATACATATTATTCCAAGAAACAGGATTACATTTAATAAAACGGTAGTCCATATCAAATACATATTTATAAATTCATCAATTTTGTCCAAATTTATCCAACATTGCTTAAGCCTTTCTAACATTCAATCTGATATACCTTTACTAGCATAGTTAATGACTTGATCTGTGCTTATAAATATTTATGTATGGTTCTATTTTAGCTCTACGTTTCACAGTATTTGTGTATTTCTATTGCCAAATGAATTTTGTCACCGATTTAAGAAGTCTATTCCCATCGATCAGACCACATTTTGAGAAAAAGATTCAATGATATACGAAAATAATAATGGCTATAAATGGATTACTTGTAAGATGAACGGAAATGCGACAGTTAACGCCAATAGTTTGTATATTAAATCCTAATTTTTTTTAAAAAAATGGATGATTGATCTAAACATTTCTTAATTTTATGGCTCCAATCTGCACAATATGCATAGAAAGCAAATTCCAGAAACACTGTAGATGTAGGGGTAGGAGAGTTATTTCTAACTATGCACGGCACATATTAAGTGGTCATTGGGTGGGATCTCTAGAAAAAAAGTGTAAAAATTTGGGTATGGAAAGCAAACCAATTGGCACAAAAACGAAACTCAGTTTAATGTATATTTTGTGCCGTTTACTACATATACTTAGATGTTGTTAACCGGAACAATATGACTAAAGAGACTGTGAGAAAGAGAAATATACAAGTGCTATAATCCAAACGGTAAAGCAGTGACATTCAAAATAGCGCCATTGAGTTATCTGAAAGAAATTTTCTATAAAAATAGAGAACTTTCTTGCTTTAACACAGATAACTTAATGATAAGCCTCAATAATCACTAAATCGCTCAATACTTTTGCATTTTGAATGATGGTGAAGATTCTCAGCCCTGGCGGATGCCTTTACTAGTGTTTAATATGTAAATACTGTACGTCAAGTTATGTCAGCATCTTGATACATTTTAATCAACAGTAAGAATTTAAAAAAATACGATGTAATTGTAAATATTTTAGTCTATCAACTCCAAAATTACCTGATGCACTACATTTCCAAGTTGCTTAACACTAAATGTCAAATTGCACCTTCCATGTGAGAATCAAATCCTAACAGTGGACTAATAAAATAAGTGAGGCATGTCAATGTACAATTTTTAATTATACAAAATTCAACATAATAATTTACACTACACTTGTAATTTACATGGGATTTACATATATGGACAAAGGGAATTTTAAAATGGAAGAAATCGTCTGTATAACTAAAGTCATTTCTGAACAGGTAGTTTGTCTTTATCTAAAGTTAGCGTTTCGATGATCCATCTAAAAAAGAAGTTAAAAAGTTATGATAAACATGATGATGTTTTACATAAAAGAATTCCATATCTACATTAAGTGCATAAATCAAGGGTTGAAGAATGGATGAAAATAGTCTTAATCAAAAAACATTTCCAATACAAATGTATTATGACCACGAATAAAAGTACTGAACATCTTAAAATATAACATGGGGTTTTATCTGTATTGTTTAAGGATAAGCTTCCATATATAACTTACGGACATGAAAGTAGCTTTGAAAGTGCCTTTGTTCCCCAAAAAGCAGAACCTTGATGCCATAAAGACTTACAAAATCCCCATCGCTTAAATTTCATTTCTTCATTTGTGGTTTGATCCGAGGAATGTAAACGAGACTTTATTGGATGAAATTGCACTATGCGATGAAATTGTATAGCACGGGACAATGACTTCGGGGGTTGAATCTAATAAAAAAGGTTTACCATATAATCGTTTGTCAGATGATAAAATACACATTAATATTTGAAAAGCATAAATATGCTTTGCAAATTACGTGCAATATTCAAATGTTTTACTTGGCTTACGTATGAGAATTAAACGATTATTTTAATACAAATAGACTTTATCTTTGATTACCAAACTATATTAATGACAGTAAATGAATGTAGGTTATCGGCTAACACATAATATTTATTTATTTGTTTGAACACATATACACTGGTACAAGGTTGGACCAAATACATATGCACCATACAAAAACGTGGTTGTGAAGAGATAGAGAATCAGGGTTTTCCAACTCCTCCAGGTGGATCCTCCGTACCCACCAACCCGGTTAAAGCTCCTGACATTTGCTTTCCGTCCTCTCAATCTCGTGAACAATACCTCTACCTCGAAAGAGCAGTGAGTAGGACTTCTCTATCAGTGACTGCATACTCTATACGAATCGGGAAGTAGTCGGATGAGAGATAAATCGGCAAGACAATGAATATAAAAGGATTTTACTGCAGTGATATTTCAATAAAGGCGGAAATAGTCGATAATGTTGTGGAAGATTACAAAACAACTTGTAAGTTTATTAAAGCATAAAAGGTTGTGTTGCCTGGTGCTTCAAAAAAAATGAAACTTACACAAAAAATGTTCATCACAACATAATATGTGGAAACCGACACTAATCATCTAAGATAGGTAAGCTCTCAATAGCAATCTTCAAATAACAGTATAAAAAGGTTTCTCCAGTAGCTTAACGTGACTGAATTTTCATATTATTTTTCCTTAAGTTTAGAACCTTTCAGAGCTTATGTTAACCATAAAAATATTTGATAAAAATTATGTCATTGTTGAGCGCAGTCAATTTTCGGTTTATTTTTTAGCAGACCATTGAAATAATCATTATTTTAAATAATCGAAATTCTGAATACTGAAAAAATCACCTAACATTACCAGGAGTAGCATACTTGACAAAGGTCTCTTCTATGTCTATTATCAGGATTCGAACTATCATATCGATCTGTAGTTTGGACAGATTTACCATTCATATTGGATTCATGTGGACAAACAGAATCAGGAGGTGGAAATCCAAGACATAAATTAATATCATCACCACGAAACATTATACCCTGGGGATAGTGTTCCAGTCCGAAACAATGACCTAATTCATGCCAAACAGCACCCAATCCTGTAGCAAAAGCCGCCCAGTAAGTGTGTCTGACAAAGGAACCAGTGAAAAACATCATGTAAATTACGGATTGAGAATCATGAACAAAGTAAAATTAATTTCGATTTATCAAATGAACAGTTATAGTAGCAACTGCTATGAACTCCCTTTAAATAAGGTCCAGAAATGGCTACAAGAGGTTACCCTCAAACAATGGTGCGAAACAAGCTTTTTCATAGGTAATGCTTCGGTTTGGGCACCCGGGCAGTATCACAGCCCTCACACATATCGAATGAGATTTGTGTGGCGCATATGTATTTGGTGCCTCCTTGTACCAATGTCTATGTGTTAAAATAAATATAATAAATAATATGACAAATACTGTTCAGCAAACTGTTTTTGTACACACTAATTTGAATTCAAGTTACAAATGATAAAAATTATTCAACAGGATGTAGGTGGAGAATAAAACTGTTAGGTCGGTTTGGTTGACTTATGTAAATAACATCAAATGTGGAATCAGGTTGAATTTTTTCAAATATAACAGAATGCATACGAATGGATGCTTTGAACAGCCCATTCAGACTTGGTTCAACAGAACCAAGTAAACTGTAATATGCACAATAACAGCGCTTATCATACCTGAACGAAGTCTGTCTTGTCTGACCATTAAATATGTTATTTTAATCTGACCAAATATTCTATGATCTTCCTATGTACGTTGTTATCTGTAATCTTGTTCACCAAGTCATGTGCGCTCTTACGTATGTGTGCCTTATGTTTGTCTGTCATTTATATTTTAATTGGACTTCTGTAGTTTTTATACTGCTTATTTTAGTTAAATGATCAGGTGCTCATTATTTGTTGAGTTGGCTGTTTCTGCCAATCTAATTCACATCCATTTCCTTTCCCCACTTGTTTTTAATCTGCATTATCAAACTTCAGAAATATGTGTTTCTCAAATGCTTTTTGTATTCACATTTTCATATCTATGTTGTTATTAACAGAATTTGTCGACAGAAGTAAATAGGACCAATATTTCATCAGGATTATTATTGATTCGAACGTATTGGAGTTAGACAACGGATATAACAGTACAGTGGTTCCATTATAGATAATAACTTATCGTTTAAGAGGGAAATAATTTACATACGCATCTCACGACTACAACTCACCGATAAGCAGTGTCATCCATCAATGTTGGATCAACAATTCTTGTATTACCCAAAACTACCTGCAAATCTTTAAGCGTTTCTGGCCAAGCATGTAAAGTCCCCGTTCCAAGTAAGGCTAAACCCCCTGTTCCTATTCATAAAAAAAGTAAAGTGGACGTTTCACAAATCAAAATAAGTCTGACACTATCAGATGGGGATCTAACCCACAATTTGACAAGACAAGAATATTTAACCAAAAAAATCTAAACTGAATCATTATGTATGGATCAACTGAATATCAATAGAAAAAAGCTTGCTAAAATTTACTTTATGCATTATTTTGATAGTTACATGCGTCAAACGTAATTTAATGAAACTAAGTGGTCAATAAAACCACTACTTTCGAGCAGGGACTACTGATTGCAACTGGGTTCCCACACCTGATTTAATGGAGTGATGTGGATTCTGTATTATAATTTAAACTATCATCCTGATGAGGATGTTAAATCCCTAAGTACGATTTACTAAGAAATTAAGTGTAAAATCATACACTGACTTAATGCGAAATATTTTCATTTGAATTTCGCACTAACTGGGTGTGGGTCTGGTTCGGTATAATATCCACTTCTATTAATTCTGGGTGACAGTTCAGTGTGACTTCTTTGTATAATAATCACTGCAAGTAATTTTCAGGAGTCTTACATTGAAAAATGGACACTAAACTTATAACCGTGGTATTTATCAAACCTGTTAAACTCGAAATAACCAGAATCATTAGTGCTTTTTCACTGGCGTTTATATTCGTGTGCAATTTTTTTCAAACTGGGGAGTAGATTATTTATCATGTAAATTACTGGATCACTAACCGTTGACTTGTAAGTGTAAAGCTTTTGAAGTGTATATTTGTGAAGTTCAGGAAAATACGTAGCCCAATTATCGACCAGTGAGTTTTGGGAAATGCATGTTCACTTTCTTTTGCGTGTTTCTTTTCAAATTTTTTCCTCAACATTACAAACCATAGAAATCGTTTAAACTTTTTCTAATGTTTCAGTGATCTATTTTGCTTCAACTAACCAATGAAGTTATACATTTTCACCAGTTCAAGTTAACGCTTCTTATCAAACATAAAGATTCAACAGATAGATATGCTATTTAATAAATACAACTAGATCTTAGAAATTCTTGTAGGCAATGGATTGCCATACATATTCGAAGGCGAACTAAATCAGTTATCAGTCAGCATCAGAAACATTGCCAGCTGTAACTAATTGCAGTTTCAATTGATTAACGATCCACTTCCACAGTTAGCTCATTTTTAGTTTTCACTTTACTTACATACAACTAGTATAAATGGTGATCAGCTATGAAGAGCTAGGTTTATTGCTGAAACTACAGCTAACTTTCAGTATCGGTCGTGTCTATTTTAATAAATCAATCTTTCCTATAATAATGATATAGATTCTTGGTTTATCAACCCAGTAAGGCCCGAAAACTTCCCTTCATATACTCTCCTGATCAACAAATGCGCCTATCAAGTTTTAGTGCGCAGACTGGTTCGAGTGCTTATCTTTATCTCAACTTTGTCTCGCAAATCACTTTGATTTTGGATTTAAACCAAACGAATATAACTCGTAAATCCTCTTGGTATCGCTGGTATGTTCTTTTCACTAACAGTCATCCCATAAGTTGGTGATTTCAACTATCAGCACCAATAAAAGCGAAATTCCACAAAAGGTAGATCTAATGTTAATCTTACACTACCAAGAATTGAAGCAAACAAGCGGTGTATTTTAAGAAAACCATCGAATAACATATTTGATTTAACAAAGCAATATAAACAAGTATCCACGTTTGTCACTCTATGTTTCGAACGGAACGAAATATATGCCCTCCATTCAACTAAACGACAATTGGTGGGAACCTTCAAAGACTAGATCCTCTAGAACTCTGTGTCTCATTTTTAAACAGTGATTGTTTTAGTCAACAAAATTTTAGGAAAGAATAATTTTTCGGAGTATATTACAATAAAAACATAAACCTAAGGGGATTCTTACCGAGAGCGAAATGAGCTGTTGTCCGAAGAAGTATTTCATTGTAACTCAGGAATTCGGAATTGATTTTCTTGGGAGGGTGATAACGTGTACAAGCCATAAAAGCAACCCATTTTGTGTTCTCGAAGTTATGAGGATATTTTTCGTAGAGCTCGTATGCCAACTTCTTCCACACATCTTCGGGAGTATTACTATTAACAAATGTTTTACTGAGACTTGAGTAGTGACAATTACAACAGGCTTCGGAAGACCAGCCTGAAATATTTCGCGATGATTTACGACTGAGTTCTTCCTTAATTAAAAAAGTGCATCTCATTCCAAGTTCAGACAGAAAAGCTTCTGCAGTCAAAGTTTGCAACAATCTAATTCCTAGCCCAATACGTTTACAAGCACTTTCTTTCGTGGGAACCATTCCTGCAGGAGCTTGGAACCACCCAGTATCATCAGAACATATTACATAAATAGGCCTGACAGTATATGGAGAGTCACGATTATGTACATACACTATTCGAAACTCAGCGAGGTTGTGTTCACACCTTAGTTGCAAGGTATTACATCCTATGGACAATGGGACAAATACTTTGAACATTGATTCGCATACAGTCCACTTCATTTCCAAATCTCTTTTATGATCATTGTGAACAGAGACGAAAACTGATTGACATTGACAGTAAGGGTCAATATTTCCCTTTAACTGGAAGAGTGGGTAATTTACTGTGAGTAAATCATAAGCATTCAATATATTGAACATTGAGAATCTTAGTGGGAATTATACTGAGATATACAGTATTACTGTTGATTAATAAACCATTTCTGCATACAAGCATTTGTTTACGATTGCATTTGAAAGAATCTATATGAAATATCTGCAGTTGACTCTGAGTCGTGAAGTCGTCAATAGCGATTTCAACCAAAATCGCTGGTAGCAAAAAAAGAAAATTAGTCTCAATGCATTGAAAATATTTGAGTGAAAGCATTTGCGCAAAAAACTTCTGTGCAAGTAAATTAGGTAAACTGAGGTATTTTCCGACAGGAATAAGTTCCAAATTACGAAGTGTAGGTTTTCATTTGAAAACGATCAAAGCAACTAAAAGGCTAAAGCTAATTCTAGCAGGTGAAAGCAGACCCAACATAGTATTTCTGTTTACTCAGTCGATCCCCTCAGTGAAGTACAAAACCATCACCAGAAGTTATCTTTAATTTGATGAAACAAATGATAAAATATACCTATTACTATTGAAACTGTACGATGAAATTGACAATCCAAAGCATTCGAAACCCAAGCTGCCAACTTTGGGGAAAATTTAGTCCATTTTGGGGAAGCCTCTATAGTAAATTCTGGGGAAATGAGACGAAAAACTCAAAATTTCCCCAGACCTGGAGAAATCCCCAAAATTTCCCCAAAGCTGGCAGCTTGGGAAGAGATTAATTGATCGTTTCAGAGGCATTTTCAGTAACACTAATAGAAACTATCAATCTTCCGATCCCGACCGTTCAAACAGTTCTGGACGGAATAGAAGCTTTCGTCTAACGGGTTTCTGTGTTTAATAGCGATAGATCCCCGATGCTTTTAGATAAGAGCCTATAGATATTTAATGATAGAAGAGTAGTAAATCATAGCCAGATACTGTCCGTATTCCTTAAGAATATGTCAGGTTTCCTCTTAAAGTGCTCCTGAGTAGTTGTTTGGACTGGCTCAGCCGGCAGAGAATCCAAGCACTTGACCGCTTATGATAAGATGTGTCTACAGTCCGTTTTGTTGTGTTGTTTCCGGTCTAATAGTGTTACCCCTAAGGTTTGTGTTGGGAATAAGCTTAAATAGCGTTTTGGCACTATAGCTGGTGTCAGTTCGTGATGAAAAATCCGGCAAGACTGCAATTTATGGACGAACCAATCAGATTTACGTCAAAAAGTCTTAGATATTAGCGCGAAATTCATTCACCTATTTGGCTAAATAGAGTTTTGGCATTATAGATGGTGTCAGCTCGTGATGAAAACCTTGAATATAACTCCTAACCATCAAATGTAAATCGCAATTCTAATTCCTCACACTGAATTGTTACCCTCATTTAGTCCTCGATAATAGGTGGAGATTCTCAAGGTCAATAAAGAGTCCTCAAATGTCGTCCATAATTTATAGTATCACAATAATGTGATTGTGTGATTGAACAAAATACAGCAAGAAAAGATATCACAACTATGGACATAATATTGTAGTTTCCATTTATATACAACGTGCAAGATATTTATTTGAAGTTAAGCTCACCTTGGAAAATAACATTATGATACAGACAACGCTCTACGACCTTGAGAATGATAGTAGCACAGAACTTGTATTTCCTTCTTGCTATTTAAAACATCGTACAAAGATTTTCAAAACTGTCTTGATAAATTTGAGGTTTGATAATAGAAATTATGTATTATTTCTTCGTGTTTTTTGTGTTTCCTGGTGACTATTATGGAGGATAATCGAACCAATAATTTTAGTAGTAATATTTATGTTTTGAGATGTACATCACCTCTAGTATACTGATTATACGTTTTGGCATTGTGTATTCTTCTAAAGTTTAATGTGATCATGTATTTGAATAAACACTTGAGTTATTATGGCCAACCGGAACTGGCTGATTGTACTTAACTTGCTTTGAACAGTCTGACACTAATATACTATAATTCAGATGAACCATGATATTTTCTAATTTGTAATAAATTTTATTTGAGTATTTACTAATGGTTGCAACGTTTGGTTATCGTTTAGTGCATTTTGACCACAAGGTAGTCAACTTTTCCGATTTCTAGCAGCGACAAGTAAGAACCTAAAGATGCCACAGGTACTTGTAGTTTGATAACACTTTGACCAATAACACCTTCTATAATGAATTGTGTCCACTCAGTGAAGTCAAAAGTCAGAAGCGAGTAGATTCGGAGACATTTTTGACGGGTTATCAATATATTGACAAGCGGCTGACCTAAACTGGCCAGTGGTTGCAGGCGTTCCTACTTGTAATCTGGTGCGGATGCATGGCCGAGTGCATTCAACTAGTTGAATCCATTAAAACGAATGTTGAAGACTTACAGAGCTTTTGATTATAGGGATTTACTCACCGCTTAAGACCAAAATGGAAAAATTGGCTAATTAGTTTGTGATAAGTTCAAATCATCATAGTACAAATCAAGAGTCATTTGCTCTTCTAATTGCAAGGAATATATTTTCTTTATTCTACTGAAAGACTGATACATTTTTGCTATCATTGTCGTGCCTTATTGCACTCTATACTTCCGAGTTTGTACTCATCCTCTATATATTTCATTGCATGATACGTTCAACGCTCCACAAGCACCTACATCTTGATGAACTAGGACTCCTAATGGGTTTCATTATTTCTTAAAGTACGTGAATTATTTCATACTATGATTTAAAACAGTATTTAGCGAGGATTCAACTGAAGAAACTTTTTTATATTTTTATGCGCAGCAAGTTCAATTAATTCTAGCCAGCTAATAAATAGTGGTGTATTGCAGGTTTTTTATAAAGAGTTGAAGACCTCCCGTGTGACTGTGAGTTGACGTAAACGAACAAAATTTTTCGAATCAGTGGTGAGTAAAAAGCTTATTCTTTATTCTCTGCAGCCGATATTTTATTGCACGATAAACTGGCTTCCAGTGGAGTTTGTAGGACTGATAATTTTCTTACTGAACATTCATTTAAACCATTATATGAACCGGCTCATACGATTCATGTATTTAGCTCAGCAAAGATTTTCGATGTTTTCATTATACGAAATGCACGATAAGATATCACTCACTAAGCTTGCCTTTCACTGAGAATTCTGAACTATTGTACGAAATGTAGCGCCAAATAAACCCCCCAAATTAATAGTCCCTTAAGTCTTCGACATTTGGTGATGATCGCACTGGTTTAACTGAACTCAACTACCTCAAGGCTCTGGGTTGCTCATCCACTGCGGATCACGAGTGAGTACGCCATGCCGCACATCCTCTATAGCCGACAGTCAGCTTAGATCGAACACTATTCAACAACCGGTCAAATATCACTTCAAACAAATTGACTTCTGAGTTCTTATAGGACAGAGTTGGCATACTACTAATATAAACGTTTTACGTGTGAAGGCGTTGTTAAACTCCGAATACTTGCTGCTTCTACTCAAGTCAATGTATTCCTTCAGGCAATCTGGCTAGTCTTGTGTTATAAAATGTCGGCCGGCCTTCTTCGTTCTGTGTTTTTTCCGCCATTTCTTTTGTGTAGCTGCAGAAGTTAATGTTTCAGTGTGCTAAAATCCAGAAGTTAGTGTGATATTCTAAACGTTGGAGTAAATTTTTTCCTGATTTTGCTTCGTCTTCTGGGTTTTACCTGCTGCTACTGAAGTCACTGTATTTATTCAGCTAAGCTGGCTAGTACTAACATAAGACCTTGCGTTTTTAAACGAAAATCGGTTATGTTTTACCTTGTTTTCTAGATATCCGAAGCCGAAGTTCGTTTTTATTTAGCTAAAATAGTTGTTGCTGCCGCCTGTGACTAACTGTCCGCATGTTCGTTCCTAACTGTTCTTTGTGATATTATCGGCAAAATGAAAGGAAACAATCTGCAGTTTTCAACTTTCTTCAGTAATATGGACAACACTGTTCCACCAACGAGTCAAACTAATACAGACTACCCAGCAGTAGGGGATATCAGTATTGTTTTCGAAAGGACTCGGACTTACGATAACCATAGATGAAGTCACAGATGCTACCAATCTATTGCAGAGGGTTTGTTATGAAAACTATACCATATAGCAGTAATGGAGGGATTGTACTCATTACGTTGTGCGTTAAAGCAAGCTTAACATTGAAAAGCCGGAAGTCTGCTATCAGTGTGTAGTGTGTGTTTGCTGTTTTGGCCATAAAAGGAACTCGAAGGGTCATGATCAGGGAGCAAAAGGGTAATTAACTGTTATTAAGCTCACTTTTTTATAGAGCATATTTCACCACTCGCAAATTTGTGTTTTTTTTACGGTATGATGTCAACCGGTACCTAATATGTTCACCCTTACGATGAAAGGTACCTGCAAATTTTCACCTTCATATTCGAATTATTTTTGGACAACTGTCTTCCAGTTTGAGTGCTTCATACGCCCCGGGAGACTAGATTCCTACATTATCCGTAGTTCCAGTATAACTTTCTCACGCAGTAGGTTCAAAGTAGACACTAGTCTTTCTAAATAAGCCTGTTAAGCTGATATCCGTATTTTCTATTTTAGTTAATCGATGAAGACATGTACCACGTGCATCTGCTGTATACTGCCATTCTACTCCGATTCTAACTGTTATATCTTAGTTCTGAAAAATAAAATTGCTATATGCAGCAAATACAGACTTATTTGTTTCGATGGAGATAGGGGGGTTTAAGGGATTTTTAGCAGGACTGTAGTAGTATTCTCACTAATGAGCTAAGAGAGTGCGTAGACCAATGCAAGGTACCATACAGGGTGCCTTTGAGTTACTAGTGTTACATTAGTGCGGGTAGGGGCATTGCTTGCTTATCATATGTCATTTGAATAAGTAGCCATAAGATTAGACGCAGGTACGGTTAGGATGTGTAACGCGTGTCCATCCATCAGCTGCCGTGACAACTCATGGTGGTTAGAATAAATTATGAGAGGACTCGAGTCTGTAGGTTTCCCAAGAAAATGATGAAGATATTTACTAAGTCACTTAGATTTACTACATATGAGCTAGGTGCTGAGAGGCTCGTGTATCGCAAGTTTCTTGCAACGATTAAGTAGATAAAACAAAGTAGCATTGGATTTAAAAATTTATTCAAGAACTCCCATTAAGAATCGAATATCAAACAAAGGTTTAAATAAAGTCCCCATTTAAAAGTTGCACTGGTAATGTTAAGCTGCAGTCTTTGTTGTTTTTCTCCAAACGAAAGGGTAAAGGAAGTAACTCAAAAAGTACTGGAAGTGGTTGTGAGACTAAAATGGACATCCAGCATCCTTTTTATAATCTGCTGTTAGTTGGGTCTCCCGTAAACAGTTTCATAGGGCCATAGTTCTAAGGGCGAAACAGTTCTTAGGATCTGTGAAGGCTCACTCCTGTCTCATTCTAAATGAGAAAATAGTAATGAATTTAGTCAGAAATGTTGAATAGAAAAATAACCAAATTACATGTTTTTTAGCAAAGAATTTATGCAGTTGTGACTTACCTTGAGTTCATGAATATTCGATCAGGTCAGCTACTATTACTTGTGCAAAACATAATATGGACTTAGTACCGTATCGCAATGCTTTTATTATTTTGCTCTCATTTAAGTATTCCCATGCATCTGTGTCTAGTTTAACAGGAAGACATACAAGCAGAGTAAGTGTCTGATAAACTAAAAGTCCCAGTTGTCAAAAGGATTCTTAACATTTGTCCACAGCCAGCTGCATTTAATTGAGACACAGAACACTCATCCTCTAAGACTGTACACTGCTTTTGTTCAGGCAAATAAAAGTTCAGACACTTAGCTATTCTTCTACCGATGTTATTGCCGGGGAAGTTGTTTAATGACAGTGGTCTTGAAACATGAACAGTGTTAGACGTCCTGTCTACAAATAAACACCAAACGTACTTATCGCTATCTTATAATGTATGACCGTAACAGCATCAAAGGCACGTTTTTTTCCTATTTTTAGTTAAACTGATTTGAATCAGTATACTCACTAAAAACAGGCAGCTCTACTTACTAAACTGATCCGTTTCGTTACAGACTTCAAGCACTATACTTAAGTATATTATGATTCTATCGACTAATCTAAATTATAACGGCAACCAAGAATACTGAACTAAGCAAATGTCACAATTATTGTTCCATTTGCACAGACATGTTGCTCAAAGTAGTTAAATGGACATAATTAAGCCGATAAAACCAAAACACGAAATATAGGCCAGTTGAACTTACCTAAGAAAAAAAGAAGGATACATATATACTGCTTTCATACTGAAGACAACAGGCATTTGTTCATAGAAACAAAGTTTACAGTACAACAAACCTTTCTTCACTAAAATCATGCACTGACAGTCTATCTGGAAACAATCAACTATGTGATTAAGCTAACTATGACTTGAGATATCATTCCAGCGTGCAATGAACGTACAGTGTAACGCAGTCGAACGTGGCGAATAAAAATTAAAAACAGAGCAAAATCAACAACCTAATCTAGTTATTTAATTAAAAATCCATTATGAAATTACAAAATCTGTGGTTACTTGAACGCACAAATGACAGTGTGCGATACATTAAGTTTACATGGTTGCGTTGCGGATAAGTTCGCCCGGATATCCACCAAGTATTTAGGCTAGATTACATTCAACCTTGGTCAATCAGGGTTGAATCCGACAATAAATAGGAGGTGTTTCCTAAAGTTGCGCTACGATCAGCTGATGAGTTAAAAATTTTTGCGGCTTACTGCAGTGCATCTTCTTTCAGACATTTTCATGCATTCCAAGTCCCTAATAAATTTAAATTTGCCTCGATGTAGAGTGACCATTTTTCTTGGAAAGTTGATGTACACAATGTGCAGTCAATTGCTCGGAACTATATATCATATGATTTACAGTGGATAGTAAAGGTTAGGAATTAGATTTAGGGTTTTCATCACAAACTGACATCAACATTGGTGCCAAAATTCTAATTCGGTAAATGGATGGGTGAATTTCGCGTAGAACTTTCTATTGGATTAATCCAATACTTGTCATCGTAAATCTGATTAGTTTGTCCAAAAATTATAGTCTCGCCGCTTTTTAATATTTGTGTGCATGAAGTCTTCTGGTTTCCTTGATGATTTTCTGGACATAAGTTCTATTTTATCCACTTGATACGCTGCGACGGATGGTTCCAAATAATTATAATCCCTTGTAATCTGATATCTCTCATAATTTAGTTCTTAGTTTTTCCTGTAGGTCTTTAAAACTAACTTTTTGGATATGTCTGCTTTATGGCAAGTTCAGACTTTCAGAAAAGCGATGGTTGAAGCTTTGTGGTTCTAACCGCTTCCACTGATTTTAGAAATTCAGTCGAGCCATTTATGTACAAATATCTGCAGGGTTTTTCTAAATTTCGGACGACAAAATTTTTCTCCTTCCAAGTTCAAGATTTATTTTCAACGGTTTAGTTATATGTCGTGTTGTCTGTTTGTTAGGTTCTTAGGAAATGCGTTTGTTCCTCAATTTGTTTCTTAACAGCCTTTGGCTTCCTGTCTTGTTCTCGACATTAAGATAGTTAGCCAGTTTTCTACTGGTTAATCATAGACACTGCAAATAACTCTGATAAACACAGTCTAATAATATTAGTTGTTGTTCTTAGAAAGCAGCTTTTTATGGTATATTTGGCTTGAATAATCCCCGTAATTTCTTACATCAGATGTGATTCAATGGGAAATTAGTAAATTTTTACAGGCTTATAGGGGAATCAGAATTTGTATAATATCTGAAAGGTTTTGTCGTTTTGGGGCTCACATTTTTCATTCTTCAGTGAAATTAATTTTTAATGATTTTACATAACTCTGTACAACAAAATGTGACTAGTAACTCTTGGTTTAAAAAAATGTTATTGATTTTACTTTAAAAATACTGATGTAGCCGTTTTCCCGACGTGAATGCTGTTCCAAACTATGAGGAAACCTGAAGATCATCTGTTGATCAGTGGAAAACAAATTTATCCCACGGGTTCAAATAACCTGTTGAGGCTTGCTTGCAACTCATGGATCGAACCTATAGAGATATGCAAATTTTCTAAAGTAAATACAAGTATGGAGACTACTTCCGAAGGTAAAACGATACTGTTTTTCTCGATATTTTCCTCTATTTCCTGTTTACTGGCAAAGGTGCGTTGCTATCACTTTTAAAATGCCACAGATATTCAGGGTTTGACAACGCCTCTGTCTGTAAGACTTGTATAAACAAAGAATATCAACTCAGTCAAATCAGAAGTCAAGGATTAATAAGTCCTCAGATATATTTGGGAACTTTTTTATCTAAGCTGGGTAGTAGTTGAAGGCGATGCGTAGCACAACGTACCCGCTCGCGATTTGGTACGGTTGCGTGACTGAGCGCATTCATCTAGGGTGTGCAGTAAAACTAATGAGGTCAGTATCAATGTCGAAAACTTACAGGACTTTTTTGCTTGGAGATTTATTTACCTCTACAACTCTGTTTTGGTCTTACATCAACTGATTTTATTTGCAAATGCTCGTAAAAAGAAAAATATTGCTCATCACTGTAAGGGATCTTACCTATATACTGAGATTTTATCTAAAAATTCATCCTTTTGTACAAAATGAACGTTGGACAGACGTTATTCTTATCTTGCTTTATTCAAGTATCATTTGTTTTCCATTTGATATATTATTTAGAGGAGTTATATTGAGAGTCTTTTTGCATTCCCATAAGGTGATATTTCATGAACCTGGTCGTAATCGAGACATCACTACTACTATATTTCTATAAATTCCACTTCAGCCTGTCAAACACAACGTTGAACCTGGTGCATATGTACAATAGCTTGAGTTACATTAGCTAATTGGCACAAGAGGGTGAAACTGTAAGCGCGAATCCTAGAGTATCAAAAGTGGTAACAGTGTTAGTAGTAATAGACTTGTGTTTATCTATTAATTTTAATGTTGTTATATTTAGCGCATTAAAAAATAATACTTTGTAATTAAAACCAACAAACGAATACTTTTACAATAGATACATATCAATAACAAATTAACATAATTATTTTATAGAGATGGTAGTGTTTTGTGATTTTATCGGAATCATTAAAAATTACTCCCTTTATTCAATTTAACTTTGAATTCAGCGTGCGAACGAAGTAACCAACAGTACTGATCTTCGTAATGATTTTTAAAATATAGTGTGCTTTTGCCCCACTGTTTACCACAATTACCATAATTTAGGTAGTAAGTATCTGTGAATCTGTACCTTTGATTTTACATATTGTTGTCTACTAGTATTGGTTGTAATAGACAACTTTTCACTTGTTTCATGCTCAAGGTTATATATCGAAACGTTAAGAATAGAATAATTTTATTTATGTTGTCATACCTATTGTATTACTATAGAAAGTTTTAAATGTTAGTAACAATAAATATTTTTGTGATATTCCAATTAGTATAAAATTGTTTTTCTGGCGTTTCGTGACTTAATGTAAGTCACTTCTTCAAAGCAAATAAAGATAAAAATTCTTATTCAATATGACTACACTTCGAAAATAAACTTAGTTGCAAAAACCCAGAGGTTCGACTTGTGAATAACTTAAAATTTCAAATGAGTTCGTGCAATAAACCTTTGTAACTTGACGTCTTTAGGTATGTATTCGTCTGGATATCTGAAAGTTTCTTAGCTCAACCCTGATATACATTAAAGTATTGAATATTCTCAGAGTTCAAGGATAGAAGTGAGGCAATGTATTTTTAGATGGAAATTTAGTGCAGTATTTTCCCACGGAAAAGTTGAGTGTCATTTTATTTCTATTTTTTTTTTTGAAATTAAACAGCTAAACCTTCTGATTCAATCACATTGGTTCCAGAAGGGGATAGGAGTGTATCGACAGAATCTTTAACAAATGAGGTTAGTGAGTGTTAGAATAGTATACATTTTAATCATTGCCACAATTACAAAGAATCCTGATCTGCTATTCCAATTTGGTTTGTATTCCGATATGTGATAGGATTTCTAAACAATTTCACGCGGTAAAATTGTTGATTATCGCAACTAACGTAGCTTCATATTTTTGATAATAATGTTTAAGATGATATCTATATTTGTGGTCCGTCAATTGCACTGTCTATCTCGATCTAGATAGCTGAGCAGTTTTTTGAACTCACAAACAGAAATGTAAATAATTTTGCAAATAATAAGCGACAATTTCTGACCGTGTTGTAAATCTGGACTTGCCAAAGGTTTTGTGTTTATCGGGCTCATCTTTTGATTTGTTGAGTTACTAACGTGTGTTTTGTCTCTTTGTAGAATTTGTTTAAATCGATGAACTTCTCCATAGTAATGCTTTTTTTCTTTTCTCTTTTATGAAGACCTCTACAATTTCACAGGATAACGATTGGGATATAGTTGGTGACGACTTGTTATTAGATATTACCGAGGAGGTAATCTGTTTGTTATCTTACTTCCGTTTAAACAATACTATGGGTGCATAAAATTGTGGTCGGTAGATGAGTTACAATAAACTTTTAAAAAAATGTTTTAGTCCGGTTAAGAAACATGATGATGTGGTGTCCAATTATTGTTAAATTTCTATTTTAACCATCTTGCGCTGTTGTGGTAGTTACACAAATAAACGCTCTTCTTAACCTAATTAAACTATGGTGCAGAAATATTTCCGGTTTTTGTCTCTTTACATTTGAAATGGGCTTTTCTGATTGCCATTATCCTTTTTTTGTAGTTATATGAGGCATCATTGTGTACAGTGAAGTCGCCTTTCCTTGCTAATGAGGTTTAATAACTTGAACCGATGTACACATGTGCCAGGTTCTGCCTTGGCTAATTCTGATGATTTCAATTCATGTCTTTTGTCTTCACCTATCATCGTTAGGTACATTTTATGTACTAAGCTTTAAGTCGCGCTTTTTGTTTTTGGGCCAGTAATACCACCCGACCACCCTGGCCTAAGCAGTTGAGGGAGAGTTTTTTTAACTTCGTGACTGAAAGTTATTTTCATGCTTCAGTTTTACCGTAAATAACATCTGATTCATAACATCTATTCATACCAAAAACTGATGAGGATAAGTTTTTTGTGGGTTCTAATCAGTCCATAATCCTAAACAAATTAATAAAAGTTTATACTATTCTTTTTGGTGAACTAATAATCTGTTGATGAATATACATTTCACAACTGGTTCTCGAATTTCTGTCATAGAAATGAAAAGCCTAATAGTAACAAGGAAATATGTAGATTTTCTTTACTCATCAACATTGATAACAGTAATTATAACTCTAGATCCTCATAACACAATCCAACCGAGTTTCTAACAAATTTTCATCTTTAAACACTTAAGTGACTTTCTAAATTAGATTTTATAGTTCCCATTAAATATGATCCTCAGTTGTAACATCTTAATCACTCTTTATTTTTGCCTGGATTTTTATAGTTCTAACTACTTATTATACTGACACATATTAATGTTCACTAGTGATCGACTTTAATCATAAAATGTTGAAATGAGTTCGCTTTACGGATATTCGAATCCTAAAGGTTTTAGATATCTGATAAGGATCCGGTGGGATAAAACAAATTCTTGTTAGATAATTATTCTCACTCTTCCTACGTATATAGGTTAGCCGTTTAAGCACGTTAATCAGTAAAAGTATCTCAACATATAAAATGTTGCATTCAAATTTTCATCATCGAGTCACAGGTTCAAATTCCGTTCCATCATTTATTTTTCCAGTTTAAACATCTGGGTATATTAAACCGTCCATGATTCATGATCTTGAGTTTTCAACAGACAAGATATAATTTATTTGTTATGTGTAAAAGTTAATGGTATAACCAAATAGTTCAGAATAAAGTGATATGTTGTTTTCACTCATAACTTAATGGTTTGAAGTTAACCAAACATTACCAATCCTTGACATTAGTTTATTCATTTCAATGTGTGATATTTTTATCAGTTACTTAAATAGAACTACTTGGGTATCTTGTTTTCTTTTGATTCTATGTTAGTATTATTTTTTGTTGCTGTTGAAAACAAAATTTAGGATGTTTCACGGTTGGTTGATATATTTCCTGGAGCATGTAAATTTGAATATGGAAATGGAGAAAACTCTGTGTTCTACGGACGTTGTAAACGTTGTTCCGATCGTCTGAAACCAAGTATGTGTTTATTACTATTGTTGATTTACTACTCAATAATTGATATTTTATACCAGTACTATGACTCGTTTTGTTTACTTAAAATAATAAAATTGACGATTATCTACAATGAGAATAATCAAAATATCATAATAAACTGTTATTTAATTTTATAGTTTGCATTGAAGACTGATTTTAAAACAAAAATTGAAAAGCGGAAAGCACTGGATAGTTAATTTTCGCCAATATCAAACTCGTTAATACTGTGCATCCACAACCTTACCAAAGATCGAACCTAGGACTTTCATTTAATTCTGATTTTTGATATTACTACATGATACTAGAATTTATTAGGTTCTGTATAATTTGTAATCTATCAGTTTATCTAATGAACTAATGCATTTTCCGAGTTGATTCAACCAGTGAAAATTCTTAATTCTCTATAAATTATACGCACCAGTTCCCTTAGAATTTGTACTAACTGTTCCTATGTTCTTACAGATAATGATCAATATCTCTCCCTCTCAGTGAAAAAAATTTACATATATGTATATTTAGCTTTTTATATATTAATTCAGATCATGAGCCAATCAATGTTAGACCGCCATTGAAAAACTGAAAGCACTGGGCGGACGTTTCACCCTAGTGTGGGACTCCTCAGCAGTGCTCATCCACGATCCCGCACGTTGGATTTGAACCCAGGACTTTCGATCTCACTCGCGAACGACAGCCCTCATCCAATGGTGTTAATGTTCAACTCCAATCAATCCACGATCGGTTCATGACCCCACTTTAAAACCTAGCATTCTTGACAACCCCATACCGGTAATATAATTATATATTGATTACCTGTATATCTGACGTCGTGAATTACTCGAGAAATATGGTGAGAAACCCTAGACGTATGGAGTTTAGTAGTCTTTTTTAAGTAGCGGTTTGCACTAAACTGTAGGTATCAATGCTGACTGACTCCTATCGATCGAATTCTCGGTGTGACCTCCAGGTCACGTGAGTTGACATGGTGATCCACTTTGATGTTAATCAGCTGTTGGTATTTGGCGGGAAGCCCTCAAATCAAAAGTTTTGTTTCTGCATTCCTTAGTCCTTGAAAAGGTGAAATTTTATTTTCCACTAATTATGAAACATGTTGGTAATATAATAATCATCATATAAAGTCATACAATCGTAATACACAATTGGCTGGTGAAGAATTTTACATAAAATACCGTAAATCAATTTTATTTTTAGTAGTGACCGATTAGATTAGAATCTAGTGGCTAAATATCTAATTACCCCTCATGAAGTTAGGGAGGGGGTATCGTTAAAGATGCGTGCTATTCAAAGAGTCTCAGACTTATATTAACTAATACAAACTAATAGTTTCTGATTTCCATTGGTTATTCCGTTGGTATCGCTTCATATTTAAAATATTTAAATGAATCAGCTTTGTTGAAGCATTGATCATATACATAGACACTAATGCATGGATTTGTAGTGAATGTGAACTACATTAACAATTTTCTCACAATAGCCATTATTCACAACTTTGTTTACAATCACAGATTTATTTCTTGAATTCAAAATTGTAACAACTCGAGTCACATTCTTAGTCTCACATAGTTCCTCAATATCTCAATTGTTCCAATCTTTGAGGTTGATTCTTATTGTTAAATAAACAATAGTCTATATCCGATACTTCATTATATCATTGTTAATTTGTAATTTATTTCGAAATTTTATGAGTTAGCAAAACACAAATATTTAAAAGTTAGTTATTACATCAAAATTCAATTGTTTCTTTCATATCATTTGAATTTATGTTTAATTTAAGTTTCTTACCTTTTCTTAAATTCTTGTTTTAATTACTATCTTCGCTTTCAAATCCTCGCCTTCTTTAATCTATACAAATTTAGATAATGCTTTCCTGGATCATTATGATGCTTGTTTTTATTGTATTAATTGTCATCAGTTACAAGAAGCAATTATTCCTCGTAATCTTATAATGAATTGGGATTTTTCACTGAAACCAGGTATACTGTTATTATTATTATTATTATTATTATTATTATTATTATTATTATTATTATTATTATTATTATTGTTCTCCATTTCTTATTGATTATGACACAAAATTAATCCTATTAAAATTGTGTGAATTTCCGTTGTTTCTCTTATCGAAAGCCAGGAGTGAATTTGATCAATCCTTGTTTGAAATTCTTTGAATCCTTTTGAATACATTGATGGCTAACATAATTCAATTAGTAGCTCTTTGGTATTTTAAACGATAGGTCACAAGTTCGAGTTCCAGTGTGAAGATCAACATTAGGATGGAGGTACATTCAGATAACTAGTCTGAAATAAAATGGAATATCCACTTTACATTTTAATGGTAAACATTATCCAAAACATGATTCTACGTAGTAATTAATGACTGTTACTACGGGATAATTGATTTAATACCCTAACTGGATACCTAATGGAATTGGACTGGTAATTTGCTCATGGAACCACTGGACAATTGATTGAATATGTATGTTAGGCGATAAAAATTTTCATTTCGTGTATACGAAATAATCAATTATTACTGTATAATCCCAAACAGAATCAAATTCTGAACCTTTAGCTTTTGTGGTGACTATAATATGTCTTAGTCATTGAGTGAGTACATTTCTGGCCGTATTTTCAAATTTGGTCAGTTTGTGTTTCATTACAATCCTCACTTAGTAGCACTACTAGCGGATATCTGTCTCATTCCGTACTTGGTTGGCTGTACAGACCATAACTTTAGAAAACTTATCTAGAAGTCAAATAAATATCACCTTGATATTCTTATCTAACCAAATATAGATATTTCACTAAAAGTACTGGTATAACTGTTTGTCAATGATTTCTTGACTGTGTTGACTGATTGAGGAATATTCCTCTTTTAATTTCCGACTTAGTTTAGATATCCTTAGTCAATTGACCAATTGTATAAAATTATCATTTTTATGTAGAATATTCGGTTGATAAACTTTGTATCTGATTAATTTATTTCTTAACACAATATATTAATATTGAAAACGTTAACACAATCGATCATTCTGTTTCATCTTGTCAAACTATGAGTAGTTGATTTCTTTAGTTTTTTTTTCTCTTGTTCCCGAAATGATTCGACGACGACATGATTTAAAGAATCTAATCTAGTTTCTTGCTACATTGTATAACTTTACTTAAAATTGGCAATGACTAATTGAAATATCATCAATTACTCTCACTCTCTCACTCACACCCATATATAACGAATAGCAAAGCTTAAATCTGAGCATATTAACCTATACACTTGACAAATAAATTACACAATATAGCATAAAATCGAATTTTATGATTACATTTTTTCCCTCACTTACTACCTCTACCACTACGGGATTTGAATCGACAACTGCATCTCTGTGCTAATGTGGTATAGCAACTTAAACTGATGTACGTGCGTACGAAGTTCTACTTTGTTACTGACTGACTGACTCCCTCACTTGTAATGAAGTTTTCTTAATGTTAACATTCAATTAATCTTACAATTGTTTGTTCTTCTTCCTCCTCTCCTTTAATTTTTCTTTCTTTCTTTCTTTAAAATTTATCTTCTAATTGCAGTTTGTCAAATTACACATCAATTTCTTAGTGCATTACATAATAGACCAGTGATAAATTTAGCTAAATTAAATCCTATTCTTTATGCTACTATACCGAATTTATATTTAATTAGACAACTTCGACGTACTTTAGTTTTGTTATGGGATCAAATAATTAGATGTGATGGTAAAACAGCTGAAAAACTATGTGAATGTATGGATGGTCGAATGTATATGCTACAAAATATCAATGATATTGATATATATTCAATTGAGGTAGGTTTGTTGTTATAAATTCCAGTTCACTTCATTTTTATAATAAAAAAATATAATATTTGATTTCGCAATATTTCTATCATTAGTTTATTTTTCTTTCGAATGTTTTCTAGAATAAAGTAGATTTGATTATGGATTGAAGTAAGACTTGTACATCATCAAATTCCTTTTCAGTGGTTTAGGGGTTAAGCATTCGCACAGGAGATTGCGAGTTCTACGTTTGGTCCCTGTTTTCAGAGTTGTGGATGCCCATTGCTAGAGTCTCATACTAGGATAAAATGGCCGTCCAGTTCTTTCAGGTTTTCAATGGTTGTTTAACCTGGATCGGTTTGTGGTCTCAACAAAAGTGGAATATCATTTTTTTCAAGATAAACTAAAGAATAAATCCAATTATGTATGACTGTACTATAAAACTAAGACAATCAGAATTGTGAGAATGACTTTTGTGTCATACTTCACATGAAGAGTCCAAATAGAAAAATCTTTGTGTGCTACTTGAAACATTTAGAATCAGTTGGAAAACCCTTTTTTGTTTTTATCATCATAAGTTGAAAATAAAAGAGTGAAACAGGTTAAATTCTTGCTTTTTCCTATCGGGATAGTGCTTGAATCTGCTTTGCTCATAGTAGCTTCCTAAACAAATTATTTTGTCAGTTATCTAGTGAATAATAAATGAGTCAGTGAAGTAGGAATCCCAAAAGGAGATAACGATTTCTTCACGTTACTTCCCCAAATTGTCTTACATTTCCATCTTTCTAAATCTTCTGCGAATGTGTAATAGAAATTTCGTCACTGATGATGAATGTTCCACAAAACCATTTATGGGCATAAAAAGGATCCAGAAATAAAGCCTTGGTATATATATATATAACTTCAAGGTTATAAACTGATAATAAGCCGTGAAAAGCTAATAAATTCCCAAAAACCACCACAGTCTTACCGGTCTTATTACTTCAATGGTGAAATACTTTTTATTTATGCTGACTTCATTTCCACTGACTGAAAAGTGGTTTCAAAATCATAAGATTATTTTAAAGTCGCTATTGGCCTTGGTCTATAATATAGTTACACTGCGAATTAAGTAAATACATAAAATTTCCTAGTGTTAGAAAGATGACAGTGTTCTGGAATTATTGACAGAAACTCATATAAAATATGTTTCTTATTTAAAGTCGCATATATGCTCTAATAATTGATGAAGTGATGAAATACAAAGGAAAGGTGTTTCCAAACGCAAGTTTAAACTATGTATCAACAATAGGAATTTATCATCAATCATCTAATGTAGATACATTGACTAAAGATAAGTAGTTTTCTGTATGAGTTGTCACAATGTTTTTGAAGAAATTTTTATGAGACTATGCATGATAAACTTATTTTTCAATTGCATCATTCTATGTTCACAACTAATCTGACCATTAGGAACGCATTTTTATTGTAGCATACAGTGCGTCATACTCAGTCAGTCAGTAACAAAGTAGAACTTCGTACGTACGTACGTATATCAGTTCGAGTTGCCATACCACATTAGCACACAGATGCAGTTGTCGATTCAAATCCCGTAGTGCTAGAGGTAGTAAGAGTATAAGCAGTAATCGGGAAGATTAGGGTTTGAAGATGTTATTCAAGGAGTATAATACAGTGAAATGAATTTGGGAAGAGAAAAACGAAATAAAGAAGAATCAGGAGATTAAAATTTGGGAGAACACAAAGAGTGTATGCACCTGCGCCATTGCAAACGATTTTGAGCCATGTCATTCAGGGTCTCTAACCATCGGCTGCTATCATCTCGCGGTCCCCAACCAGGTAGTCTACACCTACCAACATGGCTCAGTCCACTTGTCAGTGACTTCATAGATTTGTGCCATGTTTTGGTCTGGCCGCCTCTAACTTTCTTCCAACCTACTCCTACACCATAAAACATCCCACGTCGGGGCAGTCGGTGGCTGGGCAAACGTAACACATCTCCCAGCCATCTCAACTGCTGAAGTTTCACTACTTCATCAGCTGATTTACCATCCTTACCTAGTACCCGTTTCCTAACAACAGCGTTACTCGGTAGTCCCAGGATATACGAGCAATATTTCGAGGACACCTGTGATCGAATCCTGGTAACTTACGAATATCCTCTACTCTTACCGGTCATGTTTCGCTGCCATAAAGTAGGACAGAACTAACTGCTGCACACTACCTCGCCCTTTGTTTGGTAGACGGATATCTCGCCTACGCCATAAATGATGCAAGTTGGCAAAAGCTAGTCGAGCCTTCTGTATCCGTGCTGAAATTTCGGCACACACCAGACCACAAGGGCTGATGAGACTTCCAAGATAAGTGTATCTGTCGACACTCCCAACTAATTCACTCCCTATCATTAGTTCGAATGACGATGCCACCCTATCCTGAAGTAACATTTAGCATTTTGAGGGGGAGAATCGCATCCTGAACATGCTAGCATTGTTGCTTAGAGTGGCCAGAAGACTTTGCATTTTGTCAGCGTCTTCACTATGTTATCGGCATGTTCTAAGTCAACAATTGCATCTCCCGTTAGAAGTTCATCCCTTGGAAATTTAGGTGAGGAAAGTGTTATCTCTAAAAGCACGTCGACGACAAAGTTAAACAAGAATGGAGAGAGTGGGCAGCCCTGACGAACATCACTTTGATTAATCATTATAAATTCAACGAATTATTGTTACTTTTCATTTAATCACCAAGACTCACATTCATTTTTAGTTCATATAACTATATTTTTTCTTTTAATCATGTAAAGGAAGAAGCCAGTGAGGTAATGATACGAAATATAAAAAGGCCGTAGAATGAACAAAACTCAGTTAGTATATATCCTTTTTTCTTCAATCAGGCAATAGTAAATCCACGAAATAAGGATAAAATTCCTAGTTCTACTGCATCTGTGTGTATCTACCGTTTCAACTGCTCTTGTGGCACCTGTTATATTAGACACGCAAACGTCCAAATACATAATCGTACTTCTGAACACTACCCTTCTTTGTTGTTCAAAGGACAAAAATGAATATTACGAAGCTCTGTTTCATAACATTTAGTATATACCGGTCACGTTATCAATAGAAATTTCATTTTCGAAGTTACTTGTAGAATTTCATTGAACTTTTCCCATATTTCCACACTTAATCTTATACATACATGTATTATTGCAGAGTCTTGATGAGGAACTAATTGGTAAGAAACAATTCTCAACTCAACTTCTTTTTAAATGTCTTGATGGAAATATTCAGTGTACTAAAAAGCTAACTGATGTAATACTGAACTTATTATCCTATCTTTTGACAGTAATTTCCCAAAGATAGTTCTTATGTAAAGAACCTATATGTTTTCGAATTATATTCATCATTTTTGTCTGCTTTTCTTCCCAGTATCAATAATTTGAGTGCAGCATATACTGTAATATTTACAAACAAAATCGCTTCACTATTACTTGATATTAGATTATCGAATTTCACAATTCCGTTATCATTTCCATAACTGAATACTTTCTATGTCTCTGTTTTCTTTCAAACATTCTGATATAGATCATTTCAGTACAATTTACACCTGTCCGTCTGTAAACTGAAGAATAGAACATATAAATCATTCGGATTAACTGCACACTGTTAGTATTGGAGATATGTGGAAAATTTTGAGTTTTGCAGTTTACATCATAGACTGACTTTGATTAGGCAACCGTTGTATACCAGGAAGCTTCGGAATACCTGTTTCGCTTTATCATAAAACTTATCAGCAATACACATCCAAGATTACACTGAAGTTCTTACACAAAGTTTTCAGGTCCCATACTAGGATGAAACAGCTGTACAGTGCTTCCTAGTTTTCAACCGTTGTTTAACTGAGGTCAGTTCATCATGTAAAATGCATGATTAAATTGCATGGGATATATTTATCACATGCTCCACTCACCTATTGTTTGGTTGTTCAATCAGCATACCTTTGTAGACTGGCTCATTCCTCTGGTACTACTTGTTATATATGTATTTTTTTAGGATTTAATACTTGTACAATCTTCAAAATTAGAGGAACTACTTAAAAATACCATTCAAGATGTTGCTTTAGCACACGTACGTACATGTAAAGCGTGTAGACGAAGAGCGTTAATCTGTGATTTTTGTGGTGACTTAAATAAACCTATATGGACACATGAATTTACTACTTATAAACGAGTAAGTAAACTTGTATATAACTTGAATAACATAGAGTATTTTGTTGTTTTGCTATTTTAATTAACAAATTGGCTAGATGATTTATAGTTTCGTTTTCAAAGTATCATACGTTATTGTTCAATTTCAGAAATCTAAGATTAAGTAGAGCATCATATTATGCTTGTAAATATCTTGATAATATTGTTCGTTGAGTTTAATGATTTTTAGCAAATAAATTTTGATGTCTGTTTAGCAGCTATCGACTATGTCATTCCACAAGGAGGATTTAGAAAACAATTATATTTTTAGGAAAAAAATAGTTAACTCTTAAGGAAAGAGTTATCAGATTATTGTATCTTGTAGATAATGAAATGGTAACTAGATAATGTTTCTGTCTAGTTTACTCAAAGTCTGTTTCCATGGCAGTTTGTGTAATGCAATCCTAGTCATTTAATAAATCTAGGTTTAAGCGCTTGATTTCCAGTTAAACCAGGTGTAGATTACTGATACTCCTCTCTCTTCGATTCACACTAATTGTCTCTTATTTTCCCCTAAATAATTACTTTTTGGAATAATGGTATGGTGTTCAAAGTACTTGACTTTTAGCTTTCAGGTCATGTCTTTAAACCTTGCTTTCTCCCACCTATTACCTCAGTGTAGGAAGCCGTGTAAAATCACAATAGTAGTATGCCTCAACATTCACAGGGGAAAAGAGAAGATTCTGAAATACAAAACAGCAGGCCAAAACAAAATTACGCTTAATTTAATAGGTGTGGAGCCTTTACGTACCTAGGTAGCATCATCGATAAACACGGATAATCTGGTGCGAATTTGAAGGCAATGGTCGGCGTATGAAGAGAGGCCTTTCTGCAGTTAAAGAATATGTAGAACTTAGAAGAACTGTCACTCAAGACCAAAACAGAATCTTAAATGCCAATATTAAAACAGTTGTATTAGACGGAGTTGAAACTCGGGGAATTACTACAACCTTCATCAAAAAATTACAGGTACTTATAAATAGCCGTTTATACAGGATACTCAGATCCATTGACCAGATATCATCAGCAATAACTGACTGGGGAAGAGAAAAAACCAACTGAGGAGGAAATAAGGTAAAGATTTCCGTTGTGTATAATATATGCTTTGCGGAAATTATCAGACTAGATCACAAGTCACGCCCTGACTTCGAATCCCAAAGGCAAAAGGAAAAGACGCAGACCGAACAATACATTTGGCTGGAAATCGGAGCATGAATTGCACTTGGCAAAAGGAAAATGAGAACCCAGGACTGGACAGTGACCTATACCCGACGATAGGGAACAGGCTTAATCAAGTAATTATTATCACTCTGTCCTTCACACAAAAAAACAAAAACAAAAATAGAGTTTGGCTCAATATTAAATTCGGAAGTAAATATATCTTTTTTCTTTACCTAACTATATTTTGTTCTTGTTATGGTATTTAACAAGATTTGTATCTTTTTTTCTTTTGTATTGTAGTGTATCAATCCAGGTTGTTCAAATGTAATGCATATTGATTGTTTGTTAATGATGGTTACAGATTTAATATCTAACGTAGATTGTTGTTTTCAACGTCAATCCACTACAGTCCCTTTAAAAGATTATTCTCAATTAAAATTTTCTGATATACAATGTAGAACATGTAAAGAATATTGTACATTATTTTCTAGAAATAATCAAACTATTGGACATTATGCTGATCCATTTTGTTTACCTAAAATAGATTCGTAAAAAACAAATATACATTTGTGTATTTATATGAACAATGGACTCTCTTTCTATATAATTAAGTTCATTATATATACCTCTTGTTTTGTGGAAGGAAATAATGTCTAATTCATAATGAACGGAATACACCCATTAAGACATTAAATAAAAAAGATTAGTTCATAATGAACATCTTGTAATGTATTGTGTTTTTTGTTACATTACTTTATACTTCTTTGAAGTATATTCTTAATTATCACTTTAATAATAATAACGTTGGAATTAGTTAAATTTCAATCGCTGAGAATATTTCAAATATAATTTTCACATATAATGACTTCTCTATACTCGGCGCTCAATTACCGTCAAACTATTCGTTCTAATCTTGACGAATATTCGTATAAAATATCACTTTAATACTTTGTATACTTATTCATATTTAACACAATATGTAATATTTAATTATATTTCTTTAGATGTAAAACAATCTGTGATCTGTAAACATAAACTTTTGATTACTGTTTTTTTTATAAAAAAATCGAATCTCGCTAGGCGGAATCGTGGATGCTCACTGCCTAGGAGTTCCACAGTAGGACGAAACGGTCGTCCAGTGCTTCCAGGTTTTCCGTGTTGATCTAGCTTCAATTGACTCATGATTTCAACTATTAAAAAAGTCATTTTTTTAATAGTCAAAATGGAGTCAGGAAAAAAACTTTGATAATCACTTGTGACCTGTTGCGACAACATAATTGTAAGTGGGAAGAGATACACTGGTTATATAGAAGCCAAGATTTTTCTCAGAAAAACTAAAGTTGTACAGTATGTACCATTTAATTTCTGCCCTCTAAACCTAGCTTTTTTACTGTTTTAATCAGAAACTACTCCGTTTTATTTCTAACAGATTTTTATACTCATGGTTCCCTAATATGACTATGAGACAAACATGAACAACGGTTTGGTTGTCATCAGTTGCTCAGAACATGCAATATTTTAGTATTAAAAGTTACAAATGAAATTTTACATGCTTATGGAAATAGATTTATTCAGAAGTTAATTTAAAGTTATATCGTAGTGAACGAGAACACAAGTGAGGACAAAATTGCAGAATGTCTTAGTAAGATCTGAGAACCATACAGACTTTATTGTACCTTCGCTTTCACGCTAATCATTCTCTTGTCTCGTTCTTTTTTCTTCGATCTTCTTAAACTTCTGCCTCCAGGCATTTGACTTTCGGTTTATGATACATACTACTTATATCTATCGACATCAGTAACATAAACCACAATATCATTATAGTGTAGCAAAGATAAAAATGAAATTAAACAGATGGAAAAATGAAGTTACCACAATATTTTATCCAAAAAAGGTTTGTAGAGACGTTGATTAAAATCATAGCAATAGAGCATATGACTAGAATTGTATGGTTGTGTAATAATCAATAACTTGCGTTCATTTACTTCACGTAATCACTGCAAGCTTAATCAGCGTTTTAGAACATTCGGTGTGCATAAGATACTTAGCTGTAATATTTCACTCAACCGTTCTAACTTTTTTGCATTTTACAGTGTTCACACAAATAGTTTGTTTAGTAAACAATCAGTTGCATTCTCATGTATTATCATTTCGTTCATGCTTGATTCAACATTTTTTTAAAATCAGCGTACATGTTAGTGTTATGTGACTATGTTCAAAAAATACATACCAAACCTGTTTTAAATAGATTCAAACTGAAAACAACAATTTTCTAATTATGATAGCAACAAGTATATTTTTGCTAAATATTATACACATTTATTGTTTAGTCTATAGTGATACAACATGTCAGTCTATGAGTTAAGTGTGTGTCTTTACTTATATGAGATTCGGGTATTCAGAAAAATGATATTATTAAAACTGTAGTTTGGGTGACTTTCATGTTATTATTTACAATCCATTAGGTGTATTTTAACATGTTTCGATATATCAATAAATTGTAAATCAGTATTGATTGATTAACTGTGGAAATCTAAACAAAATCAAGTATTTTCTTCTACTTGTTGAACATTTCTCAGTTGCCCATTCCTGTAGTTATTCACATTCAGAATGAAACACGTTCACTGTTTTAGAAAAGTATCACTCTAGTCAAAACTGAATGTTTTCTAGCGTATACACTTCAATTATTTATGATTTATTTTGAAAGGATTCTGGAAATCATTCATTCATCAATCTATCCAACAATGTGAAACCAATACGATAAAAAACCGCTCTTGAACTTGGTTCGAAATTATTTGGAAGGATTTGAAAGATTTTGCAGATAATGGGCCTAGACTAGTTGGAGAACTATTGAAACTAAGGAAACATTGGAAAATGGCTTTATCTCTGCTTTAGACTCATCAGTTATAGTTAACTATTAACTGTCATGGAAAAGAATCTTAGACCTTCAGGTGTTTTGACGAGGGGGATATTTATAGACCGATCAGAGAGAATCCAATGATTTATAATCCTGACTGTAGTCAATTTATGTTATATTTCTTTTCAGTAATTTCTAAACATGACCACCTACTTAAAAAAAAGAAGGTTCGAACTTCTTAGTAACTCAACATCTCGATATTTTAGTGATATTCTAATGAGCACTTCATTTATATTCATACAATTAGAACATGACATTCTTGTTTAGATATACTCATCTATCATTGTTCTAGTAACATTGATAAACAGGTTAGGATGTTAATTTATTTGAATAGAGGCCAGCTGTGGAATATTGGATACATAAAAGAAAGGCTATACTGAGGCAACCTATTCATGATCCCCTTATATTAAAAAGACAAATCAACTACATTCCAAAATTTCAACAACGGGGAAGTTGCAAACACATACTAAGATTTGTATACTAATTGGGCAGGTAATTTATGAAGATTTCAGAGTAACGGTAGTTGGAAAATGGCAAGCGAACATAAGTTCATAAACAGTGATCATCAGATTTGTCATAGTTGGTGAATAATTAGTGTAGCTTTACAACTCCATGAGAGATTGAACCTGACGTTTTTTGTTTTCTTGATGATTTCCGTTGAGTTGAAACCCATCAATCAGAGTTTACGGTTATTTTAAAGTGGTTTACCACCTTACGATTTATTCGATTACATCGGCTATGGTTTTTGGTTGGAACATTCGTACACATATATTGAGGTTGATCTTTGACATAAAAAACAAGATATTGCTCTATACTACTTACAAGTAGTGACTTAAAAAACATCTACTTCTTACGGTTTGTACTAAATCATTTTTGAGTAGAATTCTTTATTTATTCACATAAATCGCATCTCTATTATTTTAAAACTTATCAATTACATATGTGACAATAAAATGAATATAAAGAGGTTTGGCAAACTAAATCCAACTTGCACTACTTAATTCACCTATTGAAATTAAAATACTCTGACTGTATATAATGCATTCTTTTATTCTCTTGATACATACACATGAGTAAACTTTGAACTAATAACTGATATCTCATACTGAACCATTACAAGCTGTTGTTCTACCTTGAACAAATCACAAGAATTCTGTCATTAGTCGATGTCACTGACGAATTACTGCTTTATTTTCAGCACGTTAAATAACTTCCCAATTTATACAGTTGAATTATAACGTCGACGCACCATCTTAAATTCATCTACTGTTAAACAAAATTACTATCGAAATAAATACCTTTGTTTAAATCTATTCAATTTAAAAATGGTTCGCGGCTCGTAATGGATGCAAACTGATTGAGATCGTGATCTCAATCAAAAACTTAATAATCTCCACAACCCCTATACTGGTAATTATATTAGTTAGATGAGTCATACCACCATTGAATTAACTGATTCTATGAATCCAGTGTTCATCATACTGTGCTAATGAGGTATGGCAATTTGGACCGATGCATATATGTGCCTGGTCCTACCATGTAGCTGACTGACTGACTGGAGATGAATCAAATATCTCAATGTTAAACATTTCAATATAAATTCTGATTAATATCAAGGTTAAAAATTCATGTATTGTAGTGAATAATACAGTGAAAAACTTTCATATCATTTTAATTTTATGGATAATGAAATGTGATGGTTACTACTTTTATTGTTTCAGAGAGTATAACATTTCATAACCTTAGTATACAACTTTTCTCTAAAATCATTACAGACAGTTTATTTATTTAGAGAAAAAAACAAGTGAGTTCTTTTAAATCTAAAAGTAGTTCTACTCATCAGTATACCTAAATATCTTAGTTCCAGTCATTGTCGGAATCGTAGATGCTCATCAATGAGATGTTCTAAGATAAGACGATCATCTAATGCTCTCTCATATTCTGTAGTTAGATCATCAAAGAGGTATAGTGTAATCTGTCTCTAAAAAATAAGACATCTACCTATACATTCTACATATTGTATTTACTTATCTTTATTAACTTTAGTATTTAGTTAGTAGGTATAGTAATTTGAATTTTTGACTCTGCTAGAGATTAATATGAATTTTCTAAATAAATATTCGATTGATATTAGTTATTTATTTATACAATTATATAATCTGAATAAAGCGTTTCTGTTATGACTTGTGGACTGTGTGCCCTGTTAATGGATAACGTAAAGATACCGCTAATAAGAGAGCAGTGACTTATCAATCGGATCAATGACGTGTAAACCCGTATGAGCAATCTAGAGTCCTTATTGGTCCCGCTTCCTGCCTAGTCCAGCCAATTAAGTTCACAACACAAGTCAGCCTCTGCGATATGAATCATTACATTCCAAGCATATGGGGTTTATATACCAATGAAACAGTCCACAACGTACCATAAAATAGAAAATAACATTTGTACAAGATTTGGCCAAAAGTGGTTGTGAATGAGGGAGGTAGTGAATAATAGGCAGGGTATAATTCAAGAATGGTGAAACGTATAATAATAGTTCATAGGTCAAAATAAAGTTTACGGCAAGAAGATATGAATATGCATAGTTTAGTTATTTAACACTTATACAATAGAAATATACGTTTAGTACTGGTCT